GGTGGTTCTTGACCAGGGAGTTGTACGACTCCTTGTTCTTGACCTGCCCGGTGCGCGAACCCGTCGATTTTTTTTAAATACGCGGCATAACGGTAGTGGGAACACCTAACCCCCCTCAGCTGTAAACTTGCATTGGTGATGGTCAACAAGTTTGGTGCGGTGATGGCCTGACTAACTGAACCAGTTCCGCCAGGCCTGGTTTGACCCAGGACATGTTCATCGTTAGCGTTTGCCGTCGTCGCCTATAGTGCGTTTCAAAAGGCCAGGCCTCTGGTTTCGAAAAACCGTTACGCCAGCATCTATACCACATAAAATCTGTGATCACTTTGTGCATAAAATTTTCCAAATTAGGCGTCTTTTCTCCAATCGCTTAGACATTTATATGAGAAACATTGTGTGAGCTGCCTGAGCAATATTCCGAAGAAATTTCCCAAAAAGCTCAAACCAAATTTGAAGGTCTATACTTATGAAATGCACTATAGTGTCAACCGGGACGCGTTTGAGCCGTACTCAGTTTGCGATTTGCCAGCACGGATCAATCTGCACCCGGAGATGTTCGTGACTGGAGTCGATTTCATGAGGATTATTTTACTGCAGTTGGGTCGCTGACTCAGCTGTCCCGGCTGTCCCAGCTCGAGAGCAGACACGGGGTGCTCTGTTCCGACTATACTCATAAGCAAAACTGAACAACACAGGTATAGAGATACAAGCATTTCGGAACCTTGACCATCATTCGTGACTTCATCATACTTATCATATGCGTAGGGTTCATAATGCAATTAATTGTTTCGGACAGTTAGTGAATATGATGTCCAGATTTGACTGGTGTATGTTGGAATTTTCAGTGTGTGACTTCTTGTGTGCTTGTGTTTGTGTGCGGGTCTGCTGTGGGTTTGGCTGTGGGTTTGGCTGTGGGTTTGGCTGTGGGTTTGGCTGTGGGTTTGGCTGTGTGTGTTTGCTGTGTGTGTTTGCTGTGTGTGTTTGCTGTGTGTGTGTGTTGGCTGTGTGTGTTGGCTGTGTGTGTCTGGCTGTGTGTGTTTGGCTGTGTGTGTCTGGCTGTTGTGCTCTGTGTGTACTCTGCCGTGTGCTCTGCTGTGTGTCGTTATGCACTGCATGACTTGTGTTTTCCCTCTCCTTTGCTCCTCCTCCTCCGACTCCAGGAAGGACAAGCGACCACTGTTTGCGCGCGTCTTCGCCGAAGACTCTCGCCTGGGCCTGCGCACGGACGGTCGGCCGCAGTTTCGCGAGGTCGTGCGCTATCCCAACGTGATGGACACGCCATCGTCGTCCGCGGGATCCGATCACGGCGGTGAAGGTGGTGGTGGTAGTCACGTCAGAGGCGCACGCAACAGTAGCAGTCGCTTAGGTCGCGGTGGTGGTCGCGGTGGTGGTCGTGGTGGTCGCCGTAGTGATTTTGGCGGTGGCGGCGCAGGTTCCGCCCCGTTCTGCGGCGAGCCGTATCCCACCGTACTCGTACCCGGTCGAGGCGTGCACGTGCGCTACGAGGCAATGGCCGCCGAGAGCGACCTGGAGCTGTGCATCGAGCCAGTGCCGCTGCCGCTCGTGCTGGTGCTGGCGTTCAACGACTGTATGATACAGTACCAACAGGATCTGTGTGACGCTGGCGAGGTGCCCGACCCCGACACGGCCGCCGGTCTCACTCGCATGTTCATGCGCGGCATGGAGGGCCTGGTGCGGCTGCTCCTGCGCACCACCTACCCGCCGTCGGTGCGCGAATGCCTGCTGACGCAGCTCAGCTTCCTTCTCATCGTAGCCGCCATGGAGCCAGGCCAGCAGAGCCGCAGCCACCACGGCCTGCAGGACGGAGACAACCCGGTGAAGATCCTTGCCCTGCTGGACCCGCTGCTCGTGCACGTCCTTCCTGAGCTCGAGGTGTTTGACCGCTTCTTCAGCCTGCACCGTCTGAAGGACTGGTACAGGCCCGCGGAGCTCGGCCAGGTGGAGTGGCGCCTCCCTGCGTACGCCCGCGTCCTCATCGAGCTGGTCAGCACGTTCCTGATCGTGCTGGAGGCGTTTGCCCTGCCCAGCACGGCCGTGGAGCGCGCCATGCCCAAGTCCAAGCAGCTCATCTTCCCCCCGCAGCCGCTGCCTGGCCAGGGTGAGTCTGAGCCGGGTGCTGGGAAAGTTGTCAGCTCGGTGGATGTGTCAGCGGACATGACCCCGTGCTCGGCATTCCCATGGTTAGTCAGTATGTCCAACGTATTAAGCACGCTGGAGCTGCCACCACCCTCCTCCTCCTGTACTGCTGAGCCATCGCCGTCAAGGAGAGTCACCACCGGGCAAGCGACGTCCACTGGCACGACGCCAACGACAACGACGACATCACCGCGCGAGCGAATCGCATCGCCACGGTCACCCGGTGTGCGAGCGACGTCGTCACCGTCCGGCTCGCCACGACACAGCAACCTGCAGTCGGGTTGCCGGGGACAACGGTCGCTACCCGCATCGCCACGGTCGCCGTCGTCTCGCCAGTCTCCCAAGCGTCACCAGGACGACGAGTCAGAGTGCGGCATGCAACGTGAGGACATGGCACCGCGGTACCTGCTGGTTGCCGGCATACCGCCGTCATTCTCCGTGGGTCATGTGACCTCCATCCTGCGCAACGCCGCCAGGCTCTACGGTGGAGTGCGGTCGCTGTGCGTGCCCAGCGAGGCCGACGCAGCACGCTTTGCCGCACCACCGCCGTCTCAATCGCAGGGACCCTTCGGCAGCAAGAAGAGAACGACGACAGGGGGTGTGTCGACCCCGGTGGATGCCGCTCCGGAGCTGGCCCCCTCGTGCGGGTTCGTCATCGTCGAGCTGCGAATCCTGGCGATGCGCGACGCCCTTCTCCAGTCCGTTCAGAGCGCTCTGCGCGCTGCCATTTGCACGTCGGCTGCTGCTGCCGCTGCCGGTGGTGGAGACAAATCTGAGAAGGCGATAATGGCGTCGTTCCTGACCAGCAATCTGACGCTCGAGAAGTCATCACCGGCCTTGGAGCAGGCACTCAAGTATCATCTCCTGTCCTCGCTGCTCGATGACCGCAGTAAGCTGTCCGACCAGGCCAGCGCAATCTTCGTCAGCATGTTCCGCACGGTGGCAACGGATGAAGCAAGACTCTCGTCGTCCTCCACCTCAATATCTACCAGCAGCAGCATCGGTAAGGCACCATCCACCATTAGTCCGCTAACTTCCATCACGCCACTCGCACCGCCGACCGGTCAAGCTCTCACCGTGTCGCGCAAGTACCTCGGCGTCTCGCCCGGCAGCGACATGGCGCGGTACGTGCTCCGCTGTCGAGACAACGGTAACCTCGACGACGCGCTGCAGAGCCTGTACCGAGAGCACGGTGTGTCCCCTGACGCTGCCACTACTGGCGGTGGAGGTGGTGGTGGCAGCGTAGGCGGGCGACTATCGGCCAATCGCAAGAAGAAGGCCTTGCAGAAGACGGTTCTGACGGAGCGTGCCTTCCTCAACTTTGTGATCGCAACGGCACTGAAGCAGAACCCAGTGCTGGTGTGGCGGGGAATGCTGACGATTGGGTACAACTTCAAACTGGAATGGTAAGTGTGTGTGTGTGTGCGTGTGTGTGTGTGTGTGTGTGTGTGTGTGGGTGTGTGTGTGTGTGTGTGTGTGTGGGTGTGGGTGGGTGTGCATGCGTGAACGCGTGTACGCGTGTACGTGTGTGTGCATGTACGTGTGTGTGTGTGTGTACATGTGTGTGTTTGTGCGTGTGTGTAGGCTTGTGTGTGTTTTGAAACTGTGTGGTCTGTATTGTTCAAGTGGTCTACAGTAGGTGTTGCTCCCAGGCTTTCTTCTTCTCCTCTTTCTTGTCCTCCTCCCTCTCCTCACCCTTCTTGTTCTGCTCTTCCTTGCCCTGATGTACAGTCTGTACCGGGCCACGACACCGAGGATGGAGTTGGACCCGAGTATGGAGCAGGAGAGTGCCATTGTTCGCTTTGCCAACAACCTTGCTCTGGACTGTGGGGTACCAGCCAAACAGTTGCACTGTCAAGACTTCTACCTCTCACAAGCTGAGCAGTCTAGCGATGATTACGCTGCCATCACTGGTAAGAAATGGTCACAGGCGGGTTGTGTGTGTGTGTGTGCGTGCGCGTGCATGTTTGTGTGCGTGTGTGTGTGTGTGTGCATGTGTGTGTGCGTGCGCACGTGTGTGTGTGTACAGTACAGTACAGTACAGTACACACAGTTTTCTCGGGAAGCGATCACGCTTGTCGCGTGGACTCGCCAACTTACCAGTTGCACAATTCTTTTGTCTTGACTTGTCTTACTACATGTACCTGTGTGCGTCATTTGTAGACATGAGCCGCCGGGAGCTGATGCTGCAGGCGTACGCCCTGCTCCGCTTCAACGAGTCGTTTGCGCCGTTCTTCTCCGTCATTGACATGCGCAACGACGAGAGGAACAGCTTCTCCCTGGGTGCCACGGTGTGCGCCGGCCGACATCAGCTTTTCTACTCAACCAAGGTAGGTGTGGGTGGCGAACAGCATTAGCAGAATGCACAGGCTTGCCACAATGCTCTTGGATCAGCCCATTGCACGCAACGACGTATTTTGTACCGTATTAAACACCCCGCCGCACAGCCCCACGGGCATGGTCGTGTGCGGGTGTTGAACAGTGCATTGCTGATCCCAGCGTACTCACATAACACCGCACACAGCCACCTGGGTATGGTTGTGGCATGTTGAACAGTGCATTGCTCATCCCAGCGTACTCACATTTATTACTCATACCTTTCCATATTTGGCAATGGTGAATACGTCAAATTTCACAGCAAACCTCAACAGTAAAAGCCCATTGCGCATTGCCAAATATGGAAAGGTATGAGTAATAAATGTGAGTACGCTGGGATCAGCAATGCACTGTTCAACATGCCACACAACCATTGTAGTTTGTAGACTGACTTAGACTGGGTTGCAATGTATATGTATGTACAGTTGAGAGTCCAAAGAGCTTTTCTGCTTTGCTGCTGTTGCCACTGATGCTGGTGATGATGATGGCGATGATGATGGCGTTGGTGCTGCTGCTGTTGCTGCTGTTGCTGCTGCTGCTGCTGTTGCTGTTGCTGTTGTTACTGCTGCTGCTGCTGCTGCTGCTGCTGCTGCTGCTGCTACTGCTGCTGGTGGTGTTGGCACTGCTGCTGTGTAGACGGAGTTCCTGAACGAGGTCCTCAACGTCTCCGTGATCATGGACCGACAGCAGCTAGAGGATAGCATACAGCCGGAGATACTCATTGATCCGCTGGACAAAGTCGGAGGTTAGTGTTAGGCTAGCACATGCAAGCGCCCTATCATGGTGGGCGTTGCTGGTGTAATGGTTAGCATAGTTGCCTTCCAAGCAGTTGATCCGGGTTCGATTCCCGGGCGACGCACATATTTTTTCCCCTCGCATGCATACAGAAATACAGACTTTATTATTAATAGGGGCCGACTAGTTTTCATTTCTAAATTGATACAGTCAACTTTGCGTTTTTTTTTTTTTTTTTACTATTGAACACTCACTGCATGATGAACTAAAATGAGGAGAAGAACTCGACACAATGGTACATATCCAGCAGGACGGAGTGGGTGACGGAGTGACGGAGTGGGTGGGACCTGTGAAGCTCAGCCGACCAAGGGTCTCGGCATCACAGCTGCACATGTGCACCAAAGGAAACAAAATGGGGAGTGGAAGGGCGGGGAGGGGAGCAGGAGAGCAAGAACTCTAAGGGTAGGAAAGAGAGGAGGGGGGGGGGGTAGGAAACCAGGAAACTTGTTATTCCAAGATATGAGTGCAAACAAGTACGCAAACAAGTACAAATATAGCAGTATCAAGATCATGATGCTGAGGCGAAAGTAGAGGCTGATTGCCGTGCAGATTTGACGAAAGATTAGAGTTAGAATGGAGGAGAGTTAGAGAGAGATAAAGACAGATGGATTGGGAGTTTGATGAGAAGGGAGTGCTCCGAGAACATGAACAGGGTCGTACTGGCAGTAGCCTAGGGGGCGATGTCCGTGGCCAATGACCAACCCGACCGTTTCAGGTAGCGGTAGGTCTGAACCTTGAACTGCTGCATCCCTTTGGCAGACGGTGCATTGCAGAGGAGAGTGGCTGGCAGTTCATTCCAGGCTTCGACGAGGCACTCCGGGAAAGAGCGCAGCGCAACATTGCACGATCTGGCAGGTAGGGCTGTCTGGAGTTGAAGCTCGTGCGCAAGGTTGGCTGCCGAGCGGCGACGTGTGGCAGGCGCGATGGCGGGTGCGATGGCTCTGGCTGGGCGTGTCGCTGCAAGAGCTGGCGGGCTTGCGATGTAATGGAGCTTGTACAGAGTTGCGAGGCCGGCCACACGGCGCCGCAGGGACAGAGTGTCCATTGCAGCCCCTGTCCCAATCAGGGTGAGGGCACGAAGCTGGACTCGGTCCAGCTGTGAGAGATGGGTAGCCGCAGCTCCCATCCATACAAGTGGACAGTACTCCATTAGAGGCCGAATGAACCCCCGGTATGCTGTGGCCCGGCCCGGTGGGTCCAGGACATGGCACGCCTTCCGGAAGAAACCAATTCGCTGTGTGGCACGCACTGCAGTTCCTCGAAGATGCTCCGAGTATGTTAGATGGGCATCAAACGTCACTCCAAGGAGCTTCAGCCGCGAGCATTCCGGGACCGCTGTGCCGTTGAACCTGATGGGTGGTGTCTCCCAGGGTCTGCGGTGGCGGGACACAGTCATGGCCTGTGATTTCGTTGGCTCAAAAGTGACGCGCCACTGAGCACCCCATTCAGCAAGTGCATCCACACCAGCTTGGAGGTTGCTGCACACTTCTGTCACAGCATGTGGTGTTGGGATGTGGGCATAAAGCGTGGTGTCATCTGCGTAAACAGCCGGAGTGATCCCTTCCGGTAGGACGTCGCAGGCGTCATTCACGTACAGCAAAAACAGTGTGGGCCCAAGGATGCTCCCTTGTGGGACCCCAGCATCAATCTTGTGTGGTTCTGAAGATGCTCCGCCGACTACTGCCTGCAACTTCCTGTCATACAGGTAGTCAGACAGCCAGTTGAGGAGGGGACCAGTGATGCCATATGACGCAGCCTTGTGGAGCACGCCTCGGTGTGAAACTTTGTCGAATGCTCCTATAACGACACTTGGCGGGGCATCAGAAAAGTGTCCTTATTCGCGAAGTGTCCTTATACCTGAAGTCTCATTATATGTATTACAGTTAGATGGGACTTTGCTCTGGGCATGGAAATTCTGCCGTTATTCGCGAATTGTCGTTATATCCGCAGCCGTTATTAGCAAAGTTGACTGTACATGTATTTGTATTAACGGATGGCCCCTTATTGTGTGCATGTTTGTTCTCCATGCAGGTCGCCAGCCCACGCCCCAGTTTGTGCAGGCCGCACAGCAGCTGGCCAGCGTCCCCTCCAGCCACTACCAGGTACCCATAGCACGCGGTGGAGATCCCAAGTACTGCTTCCGCGTTCGATTCACCGGCGATGACGTTCTGGGCACATGTAAGGCTGCAGACCAAAAAAAACACTTTAAATTCGAAAAATCTGGATTTTGGACCTCCTTCTCCATACATTTTGGACCTCCTTCTCCATGCATTTTGGACCTCCTTCTCCATACATTTTGGACCTCCTTCTCCATACATTTTGGACCTCCTTCTCCATACATTTTGGACCTCCCTCTCCATCCATTTTGGACCTCCTTCTCCATACATTTTGGACCTCCTTCTCCATACATTTTGGACCTCCCTCTCCATACATTTTGGACCTCCCTCTCCATACATTTTGGACCTCCTTCTCCATACATTTTGGACCTCCTTCTCCATACATTTTGGACCTCCTTCTCCATACATTTTGGACCTCCTTCTCCATACATTTTGGACCTCCTTCTCCATACATTTTGCCATGATGTACAGTGTTGCTCAATGAAACCCAGTCGCGTCACTTAAGTGCACGCCGGGCGTTGCGCAGCCCCAGACCTGCGAGCACTAGGCTGCGGAATGATGCAAGGCGCAGACTTGAGTGACGCGACTGGATTTCATTGAGCAACACTGCCCCTGTCCTTTTTTGTGAAACCTGGAACTTTTAACTCCCCATCGTTTGACCTCTCTGGCGTTGAGTGTCAGGCAGAAATTGCGTGTTCGCCGATTACCTAGACAAGCGCAATTTACTATACTCTGCATGTGTGTGTAAGCCGTATCTGGCCTCTCTCTCTCTCTCTCTCTCTCTCTCTCTCTCTCTCTCTCTCTCTCTCTCTCTCTCTCTCTCTCTCTCTCTCTCTCTCTCTCACACACACACTCGCTTCCCCTGCAGCCGGATCGTTCCGTCACTTTCTGTGGACGGTCGCCGATGAACTCCGCTCATCGGACGTGCCTCTGTTCGTCGAGTGCCGGAGTGCAGCTTCTGGAAAGAACAAGGTACAACGCTAGGACTATTGTAACCATGGGAACGTTCTAACTTACAACTGTAAAACCGGAAAATTTTGGTGCAGTTTTATTTTCGGTAACTTCGGTACAGGTAACTTTTACCTAAAATAAAACGCGGCCTAAAATTCAACAATGCCATGCCACACGGTGTGCAAAGTGCAGTTTTGGATCTGGAAAATTGGTTTACCGAAATTTTCGCGCTACCGAACCGTTGATTTTGGGAAATACAGAAAATATTACACCAACAAAAATTCCCGGTTTTACCGTACTTCATGTGCTTGGTAGCATTTCCACAGCAAAGATTCAGCTAATCTTGCAGTCTGGCCAAGACAAGATGTTGTCTATCTGTTTCTATGCAGCATAAAGGGAGTGAAGTATGGAGTGCATGGGGGGGGGGGGGGGGGTTGTAGACAAACGGTGGTCGTATCAATGTAGGCACCTTGCTCTGTATGTGTGTGTGTGTGTGTGTGTGTGTGTGTGTGTGTGTGTGTGTGTGTGCGTGCGTGCCTGTGTGCGTGCGTGCGTGTGTACGTGCTTGCGTGCTAGTTAGTGTCCATCGGCCTTGCAAGCTGTTGAATGGTGCAATCCCAGCACAAGTTGCTATGGCTTCTGCTGTAGCATCGCTACCATCGCCAGAGTGGGCGTCAAATGATCAACGGTGTGTGTGTGGGTGCGCGTACGCGTGTGTATGTTTGTGTGTGTGTGTGTATGTGTGTACGTGTACGTGTGTGTACGTGTGTGTACGTGTGTGTGTTAACGTGCTTGCGTGCAAGTTAGTGTCCATATACATTTTATGTATGCCTTTTCCAAGTATGATTATTGCTGTGTTTGCGTGTGTGTTTGCGTATGTGTTTGTGTGTGTGTTTGTGTGTGTGTGTGTGTGTTTGCATGTGTGTGTGTGCGTGTGCGTGTGTGTGTGTGTGTGTGTGTGTGTGTGTGTTTACATGTGTGTGTGTGTGTGTTTCTCCAGGGTAAGTACACGCTCCGGCCTGAAGCGTTTGGCTACACAGGGGAACGCCTTCTTCAGTTCTTTGGACAGGTGAGTGCATAACTTTCATAGCACCGTGACACGCCCTTTGTGCAGTCAGACCTCGCTTATCCGGTCCTCTTTTACCCGGATCCCTCGCCATCCGGAAGAAAATCGTTGGTTACTGATGTACAGCATATGCCATGCATACATACAGTGTGTGTGTTCGATTATCCGGTTCCCTCGCCCATCCGGGTTGTTTTTGTGGAAAACGGATGAGGTGTGGTTAAGCGATGTCTGACTGTAGTCCCCTATGTTCTCTTGTGCTATTGTTGTTGTTCTCTTCTATTCTATGTAGACATGTGCATTTTCATAAAATAAAATAAAAAATAAAAAATGCAATCGTATTGTCCGTGGTGTTGACAGGCGCGTGCACCGTGTGAGTTTTTTGGTGTCTGGAAACCACCTTTTTTCGGGCAATCTTGCCGAAGGAAAAGCGCGCCTACTGGATTGGTTATCCTGCATACGCGTCGATCGACGGGCAGTTTACAGTACAGACTCAGTGGCTATGTCCTTATTTCGAAGTGAGAGAGAGTTGCTTTGCATGTAGTTCAAAATACATTATTCTCTCTTTCTTCAGTGGAGAGTAGCGACAGACAGATCGATCTCTAGCTCTGGTTCGCTCCTGGATTTGCGATGACGTTCAAGAAATCCGTTCTGTCTCGAAATTTGAGTCAAGCACGCGCGATGCAAGCAGGGGCATCGGAAGGTATTTTAGTGTGGTACGGTCAGCCATCTGAAGTACAATTGACTCGTGGGGGAGTGGTGGCTGAGACGAAAATTTTGGAAATTTAGATCCCAGATCAGTGTATTCTGTTGACTCACGGGTATCTGGCGCAAAAAGTGGTACGGTCAATACCGTAGTGACCGTACCGTGTGCGGCGCCCCTGGCAAGTCAGTTCAAGGATATGATTGACGATATCTCCTTCCAAAGTGTTGACTCAAATCAAGATCTCCACAGCCTTTCGTTCTCGCTCATGTGCGCAGCAGAGATGTTCGTCAAAAACGTTGTCGACTGGAAGATGTAAAAATGTGCGTCCATGATCCACATGCGCTGCTTCAGAACGAAGCGCTGCTCCAGCCGCGACTCAAGGACGCGGGGCTCTGCTTTTCTTCCGCGAGCTTCCATCGAAGCAAGGCCCATAACTCTTTATTGAAATCATGTTGAACATTGCCAATACATGCTGAAAACTTCGTCATAAGAACAGAAAGAAAGATCCGTCGAATGTAAGCAGTGTTATGATGAAACAAACATGCCTGGACTGGAGTGGACTGGTGAAGTACCATAGACATATTGTTAAAGGGGAAGTCCGGTGAAAAATTTAAAGGGGAAGTTAAGGCAAAAATTAAAATTTCACCAGTTGTAGTCTTCGGGGTGCTGAGTCGAATGGTCTCGGTCCGAAGAAGCTGAGACGCTCCCTTCCTACTTGAATCCCAATCGAACTCGCGCACTTCCACCGAAACTGGGTGACTGCGCCCTACTAGATGGGGATTTGTACGCAAAATGTCACTAAAAGCGCCATTTCGTTCTTATAAAAGCACGGATGACCGCGATTGGCCCATATGTTGTAGTCTTTTCGACGCTGAGTCGACTGGTTTTGGTCCGAAAAGGCTGCGATGCGGCGTTCCTCCTTTATTCCCAATCGAACATGGTTGAAGAAGCGGTCACGTGCTCCTGCGTACACCAGTCACCTGGTCACCGTGCCTGCAGGGTACAACTTACTAGCCTGTTTGACCTTTTTTGGGTGCAGTCCTGTCACTCGAGTTGAACTCGAGTTGAACCTTGGTGTGAAAGTTGTCGCCTGCTGGCGTGGTGACCAGGTGATTTGGGCACCCAGGACCACGTGACCGCTTCTTCAACCATGTTCGATTGGGAATAAAGGAGGAACGCTGCATCGCAGCCTTTTCGGACCAAAACCAGTCGACTCAGCGTCCAAAAGACTACAACATATGGGCCAATCGCGGTCATCCGTGCTTTTATAAGAACGAAATGGCGCTTTTAGTGACATTTTGCATACAAATCCCCATCTAGTAGGGCGCAGTCACCCAGTTTCGGTGGAAGTGCGCGAGTTCGATTGGGATTCAAGTAGGAAGGGAGCGTCTCAGCTTCCTCGGACCAAGACCATTCGACTCAGCACCCCGAAGACTACAACTGGTGAAATTTTAATTTTTGCCTTAACTTCCCCTTTAAATTTCAGGGTTGGTAGAGTTTCGGGCGCTGAGTCGAATGGTGTTGGTCCCACGTGTCTCCGACAAAGCGTTCTCGAGATATTTCCGTTTGAAAAACTGAGTTTCGGGGGCTGCGCCATGACGTCATGCGGCCGCGCCACACCCTCTGCAACGTCATAGCGTGCAGCTAGGTCAAAAGGAGTGCGTGAAAGCAATAGTGTCAGTGCTATTTCAAATGATTTGGCGACTGATATTAGGTGGTGCAAGCGACCCCGAAGACCTGTAACTCCTTGTGAGAGTGAGGATGCAGCCATGGCTGACCTTCATGAGTTCGGTTTGGGGCTGAGAACCTCGGTATTCAGCTGAAGAAATGGCCGCGCGGGCCCGTCAAGAGTGAGCGTTACTGAGTTTCCGGCTGATGAAGAAGCAGCAGCTATTGCAGACGAGGCTGATGAATTATCAGATCGCTAGAGAGCAGGGTCGCCAAAATGGAGAAGAGTGATGCGAGTGCTCTAAATGTTGTTCCATACCGATTAGATTCGCTTAGACTCCAGTGGCCTGCCACATGGTGATGTTTTGGTGCGAACTTGGAATATTTCGGACTACTCATTTGGAGAACAGTGCAGGCTCTTTGAACCACGGGCACGACTCTTCGCTCGCAACGCTATGGAATCTGACAGTTCTAGGTCCGGGAGCTGTTCCCTGTTTTGTCACTTGTCACGGTTGTGCACTCATCGCTGTAGCATAAAATAATGAGGCGGGAGCGGAAAACTAAAATTTTCTTTCTCAAAGCACAATCACCGGCACCGGCAAGGAGAAACGCACGTTCTCTGACTACATGACTGTACAATACGACTGATAGTAGTGATACGAGTGTAGTACATGACAAGTCCGTGTGTTGACTAGTTTTCTGAGTCTTGTGTCAGTTGTGACTCGAGTCTTGTTGTATAGACCCCAGCACGGCAGTGCGGGAGTAGTTCCGTCTGTGATGAGTTTGTTGACTGCACCACAGCACCACTGCACGCACTGCATGCACGCAGCGCACAGCGCGTAGAGGCTGACGGAAAAAGTCCAACTCGGAAACGGCTAAAATACGGTATAACCTCGAGGTTTACCGAGTGAAAATCACAGGGTATGTAGTGTTTGTAACACTGAATCGAATGGTCTTGGTCCGAAGAAGCTGCGACAAACAGTTCCCCAATCGAACGCGCTCCGAATATGGCCATTTTTGTACACAACTAGATGGTGTGGCTATCTGGCTGCACGCTGTGACGTCATCACCTGGATCTGGGTGATGCGCACTCAAATTCGCACATGTTCGATTGGGCGTATCTGACGAACCATAAGCCGCAGCCTCCTCGGACAAAGACCATTCGACTCAGCGACTCGAACTCTACGGACTGTGAAATTTAAATTTTTCACCGGACTTCCCCTTTAACTTATACTAGTCTTATAGACTGTAGTGTAGCCTGGGCGGCTAGGCCTATCAAACTTTTACGTGTTCAAAACTTCAATATGACAAATATGTGATTGTATACAAGTACATTGACTTTTGCACCCTCTTTGCAAATGCTTTTTTAAGTGCTGGTATGTAAAAGGTAACCATGGTAACCCGTTTAATCCTGTGACCGGTTACACATGTACCAACATTTCCATGCAACATCGTCCCCTCCCTCCATTCCTCTTATTTCTGTCCTTTCTACCCCTGTACCTGGTTCCCTCTCTGACGCGTTTGTGCCGGCATGATCTGATGATAGCAGTCGGACAAGCCCCGCATCTCATCAGCACCAGTGTTCATTGGTGCCCTGCACCCCTGATCTTGAGTCCCCTCCCCCTCCCTCCTCCCTAGCCATTATCTCCGACGGGATGTTCCGGGGATGCGCATGTGCACAGATACAAAATTATACAGTGGGTCTCCAGAAAAAATTACCAACTCTAGAAACCCCCCTTTCAAGACTCGGTGCACGCCACTGGTTGATAAGGTCGTTCTGTATGTGAGAGGGTGTTTCTGTGTATATGTGTCTGTCTGTCTCTCTCTCTCTCTGTCTCTCTGTCTCTCTGTCTCTCTGTCTCTCTGTCTCTCTGTCTCTCTGTATGTGAGAGTGTGTGCCTGTGTGTCAGTGATGTACTGAGGAAAGGGATGATAGCAGTGGGGAAACGGTGCAGCCAAGATGCGTGTGTGTGTGTGTGTGTCTGTCTGTGTGTGTGTGTGTGTCTTGTGTGTGTGTGTCCCGTATGGTGCAGTGGTATGTGCACTCGATTTCCAATCGAGAGGTTGCGGGTTCGATTCCCGACGATTATGGTCGCACACGTCTTTCTTCTCCTCATTCTCCTAGCCCTTCTTTCATTCTCCTGTGTGGTCACCAACAGCCAGTGCATGCCGGAGTATGTGGTGTGGTGTGTGTGTGTAAAAAATTAAATGAAAAAATGAAAAAATGGAAAATGAAACATAGGGATTCTCTGGCCAGAAAAAGCCACTTCAATCAGCTGTGTGGTGGATACCAGGCTAAAAATTAGTGGCGGCCAATTCATCAGCCTTGCAAGCTGTTGATTGGTGTAACCCCAGCACAAGTTGCTATGTGTAACATAGCTGTTCGCTATCATCGCTTCCGCGATGGGCAGGTCTGAGGTCTGAGGTCTTGTGTGTCTGTGTGTCTGCGTGTCTGCGTGTGTGAGTGTGTTGTGTGTATGAACGTGTGTGTGAGTGTGTTGTGTGCATGAACGTGTGTGTGAGTGTGTGCGTGTGCATGAACGTGTGTGTGAGTGTGTGTGTGTGCGCGCACGCACGCACACGTGTATACCGGTATATAATATATGTGTGTGTGTGTACTGTGTGCATGTGTGTCTGTGTGTGTGTGTGCTGATGCCTACAGCTTGTCGGTGTGGTGATGCGTGCCGACCTACCCCTACCGCTGGACCTGCTGCCATCCTTCTGGAAGTCGTTCCTGGGAATACCTCTGGACAGTTCGGACCTGAAGGAAAGCGACATTGTCACGCACCAATTCTTGACGAACATCCGCGAGGTAAGACGACATTGGTAGTGGAGAGGGGATACTTCAGTGCGTGGTGTTGCCCTGGGGACTGGGGTTTTGTAATGTGACAGATACTTTTCTTATTCGGATGGACAGCCAAGGATAAATTTATGGAAAAGAAAAAGGACCGAGGAACTACAAGTTGCGCAAGTTAGCCAGTTGGTTGTAGAACGTCAGTACCGTCGGTCAGTGTCGTGCAATGTTATCGCATGAGTTGATTGTTTAGTAACTGGTGGTGTCAGTGGACAGTATAGCGTAACTTGTACCTCATTGGTCTTTTTCTGTTCTATAAACATTTCTTATTGTCCTCAAGCTCGGCTAGCCTTTTCACCCTGATGATATTCTTGTTGAAACTAGCTTTGCCGTTTGGCATTGAGCAGTTTAATGGACAGCCTGGAGGAGCCTCTCTGAATTTATCCTCAGTGTCCTGCAAGAATGTGGAGCGATTCACTTGAAATCAGCGATCACAGGCAAACGTTTGCAAGTACACGTACACTTCGTATCTCTCTTATCCCGGACGTCTGGGACCAGGCACTGCCCATAGCTTCAAAGCTGGAAATACAGTGAATCCTGTCTAAGACGACCGCTCAAGGGACCTTCAAAACGTGGTCTCTGTTAACAGGTGGTCTCCTTATCCTGGGTCATTCGACTGGAAATAGCATTCCTTGGGTCCTGGTTTCAGTGGTCTTCTAGAGCAGGTGGTCGCCATATCCAAGTGGTCGCCTTGACAGGTTTTTACTGTATCAGTAATTCTGAATCACGTACATTTTGAGTTGGGGAAGGGCCGAGGATCACGGGTATGACGTTTCGGCCAAAAGAGTAGTAATATTTCCACTAGAACTCGCCCGCAGGGAGCCCGGTAGACCGAGGATACTGGTGTGGAGTGTACAGACTAGTCAAAGGGTATACAGCGTGTGCTCTTAGTACCGTAGTCCTTTTGTAATTCGGCTACAGTGTGCATGAAGAGGACATTTTGGCTACTGAAAATATTGCTGGCTTATAGAGGGTGCTGGTTTAAACTTTTTTTCCGCCCGGTTCTTATTGTTTGAACTAGCTCTGCCTCTCGGTATTGAGCACTCTCTTGGACAGCCTGGAACCTCTCTGTTGTGAGGGTGCTGGTTAATAAAGTGCTGCATTTCAAGAGGGACGTCTGTTGACAGTGTTGTAATCATTCTACCGTTTTCTTTGCCTGCTGTTGTGCTTTCCCAACGTACAGGCCAAGGACGAGAAGGCATTCCGCATAGTGCTAAACCCCGATGCCGCCGATGACGATTTCTCCTTGGCGACGGCGGCGCACGGCGCGGCGGACTTTGACTACCCGCCGACCGCGGGCGCAGCGGCGGAGTTTGACACTGGCTGCGATGGCGGTGGTGCCGGTGGCAATGGTGCCAGTGCTGCGGCGGCAATGTGGAACGACAACGGGAACACTGCTCTTGTGTCCAGCTCAGCAATGTCCGCAGCAGCTTCGGCAATACCCGCAGCGGCATCAGCAGCCGCCGCAGCAGCAGTAGCAGCAGCAGTAACTACGGAGGGAGCATCAGCAGCAGCAGCAGCGTGTACTGGTTACTGTGCAGCAGCAGCAGCCAGTACTGAGTTATCGTCCACTGGCAGCGTTGCCGCCGCTGCTGCCTGTGCGGACCCTCCTGCAGCAATCACCGTAGCAACGCTCCCTTCTAATGCCGCCGCAGACGCTGAGGTTTGCGTTGCAGCAAGCCAGAATGACGCGTCACTGACACCAAAACCCGGTCCTGGACATCCTACTACGCATGTTGGCAATGACGCCGGTGATCTAGGTGAAGACTGCGGAGGTTTGGACGGCGTTGATGGTGAGGCAGACACTGAAGTCCATTACAACGCTCTGGGTCTGCCTTTCATGTTCACGTACACATCAATGTCAGGGCACAAGTTTGATTTGTGCCCAGACGGATCCCAACTACCACTCAAGTAAGGAGATTATGATTGTGTGTCGTGTGTGTATGTGGGTGGGTGGATGGGTGGATGGGTGTGTGGGTGTGTGGGTGTGGGGTGGGGGGGGGGGGGGGTGGTGGGTGGGTGTTGGGGGGGGGGGGGGGGGTGTAGACGGACAAGCCAACCAGTACATGATAAGTCACTCTTGCTTTTGCTTGTTGCCACTTTAAGTACAATTGTCTACGACTACTGTATCATGTCAGTGCTGCATGATATGACCGTTGTGTGTGTGTGTGTGTGTGTGTGTGTGTGTGTGTGTGTGTGTGTGTGTGTGTGTGTGTGTGTGCGCGTGCGTATGTGCGTATGTGCACGTGTGTGTGTGTGTGTATGTATGTGTCCCTCCGCACTGCATGGCAGGTTTTCCAATCGTCTGGAGTACGTCCGGCTAGTGGAGTCGGCCCGCCTATCTGAGCTAGAGGCCGAGACTCACATGGCACACATTCTGGCTGGCTTTGCGTCCGTCGTGCCCGTAGAAGTGCTGTCCGTCATGACACCAGACGACCTGCAGCTGAGGATCTGCGGACGCGTTGCCATCAGCCTCGAGTTCCTCAAGGTGAGCTGGCCACAATTTCTGGTTTGTTTTCTGTTTTTTTTTGCACACACACACACACACACACACACACACACCTTTCTTTTCTTTTTTACATGATACACAACTCACCGGCAGGCACATGGGGTTAGCATTGGGTGAGATGGTGCTGGTGGTGGGTCTGCCATGCTCAACGGCGACCAGAGGTCTCGGCATCTTCACATGGCAGGCGCACCAAATTTGGGAGGAAAGCATAAGCATGGGTGGGGGGGGGGGGGAGGGGGTTGGGGGCAGTCGCACGACTCTGTACACACATACTAGCAGCAGACCAGGCTAAGGCGGGCTAGGTAGAGGAGTATTGCTAGAAATGGTGACTTGCGGTCAGTTCGGCCAAATCCGTTTTTTACAGAATGATGCCCATGCCACTTCTCTTTGCTTGCTTGTTTTGCCGAGGGAACATTATGCTGGTTTGTTTTCGGGATCCCTATGTTGCATGGGCCACACGTACTCATCCGGCGGATATGCGTGACTAATGATAATGATAATAATAACGATGCCACTATACATTCACAAAATGTTTGCGGCGCCGATCGAAATTTTTCATGTACAGTGGATATCGGTTATAAAGTCATCGGATATAGTGATAAACCGGTTATACTGATACAAGATGAAAATATCAAAAGCAAAACCAGAAAAAGCCAGTCAAATTATCATTATAACCAATATATCGGATATAGCGATAAATCGGCTATAAGGATACAGAATCACAATTCAAAACACCTCTTTGTACAGAAAAAATATCGGCTATAATGATAGCAACACACGAGTGAAAGATATTGGTGTGCCAATTTGGAGCCATACGAGTGTTTTTCTAGTGCCGCCACAACTCGTCAATTCTGGTCTGCTGCTTCCTGGATGATGCCTTGGCGGACAGGAAGTTCTCCACTCTGGAGAAGCTGGCGTGCATGCTGGAGTCGGCATTGCTAGCGTACAGCGCCAGACGAACGGTGCTTACAGCCTGCAATAACTCGGCAGCAGACGGAGGTGAAGGCAATTCCTCGGCCACTTCATCTTCGTCATCTCTGTCAGAGTCTGCAGTTTCATCCTGCAGTGCCTGGACAATTTCGCAGACATCGTCACTTGGAGCAACCCGGCATGGCTCAGTTGAATCCAGTCTCTCCAGCTCTGTGATGTCGGTCTGAAGAGTGTCGTCTTCGTCAACAGGCACATCATCAGCCACAGTGGGACCCATCACAAACCCAGCCTTCCTCCAGCAATTCTGGATGGTCGCCTCCGAGACAGAGTCCCATGAAGACTTTGCGTACTGCAGGCAGTGAAGAATGTTCACGTTCTTCTTGAGCACTGCAGTGTCCAGCTTCGCCATCGTAGGGTCATCTACAAACTGAACCACCTTGCGCAACATGAGGCGGCGGTACGTGCACTTGAATGATTGGATGATTCCGGCATCACAGGGTTGAATCACGGACGTCGTGTTTGGTGGCAGGAATACAACGCGGACATAGTCCAGACGATCAGCCACGCCATCAAACTTGTGCCCAGGGCAGTTGTCCACCAGCAGAACAATCTTTTTACCCTTCCTGCGGAATGTTCTGTTGGTGTCCAGCAGCCACTCCGAAAATATCTGCTCGTTCATCCAGGCCTTCGGATTGGAGCACCACTGTCCTCCAATGACAGCAGCTGGAGTGCTTTTTACCGCAGCAACAGCACGGGGAAGCTTCGAATTGCCAATCGCCAGAAGAGGCAGTCTTTCTCCAGACATGGAGACAGTGGTGGCAAAGGTGATTCGGTCTTTCTGCGTCTTGCTGCCTGATAGCCGTTCATTGACGCAAGCCAACGTTCTCTGCGGCAGAGCTCTCCAGAAAAGACCAGTCTCATCCATATTCCAAACGCGCGTCGGATCACCATCGACGCTGGCAAACACCTCTGGCCAGGTGTCCTCCATGAAAGCTGCAGCGGCAGCGACGTCAGCATCAGCAGCTTCGCCATGAGTCTTACGTGACTTTATTTTCCTCTTGGCGAGGAAGCGCTGCACAAATGATCTCCACGCTATGTCCGTCAATGGCAGATCTTTCCGTTCAACCAGATCCTTCGCTACAAGTTCATCAGCTATCTGATGGCCCTTCACAATCAGCATGTCATACGTTATCGTTGTGAGTTTCTTTGAAAGGCACGCTTCGTGAAAACTCTCCAGGCCTTTCTCTAACAGGACGCAGTTGCTAGACCGATTTTTACGGACTCCTTTCAAACTGGACGATGCCACGTCCATGATCGACGACTTGTTCTTCAGGATGGTAGAGACGGACGACTGCCCGATTCCAAAGTGCCGTCCAATATCGCCTTGCGTCGCTCGAGGATTTTTCTCCGCATAGTTGAGAATTTCAACCTTCTTCTCAACGGTCAAACAAACTCTATTTCGCTTCGCACTAGCCTCCATCATGCAAATCACGAAATTCAGGAACAAGAAATACGACTGAAACTCTCCTTGACAAGCAGGACAACAACCTTCAAACGGGGAAAGTCAACAAGGAAAAGGCTGACCATGCCCCGCACTACACATGTTACGCTTGCTGCATGCAGAGTGTGCTGCACTCAGCCTACAGCAAGGGTAGCTCGCGTAGTCCACTACTGCTCGCGTAGTCTCCTTACAAGACATCTATCGTGTACATGTACTATCTACACTGTACACTGTACACTACTCGCACCAGTACGCTACACTAGCGCGATCGAGTACCCACACGTGTATACTGTGCATGTACGACGCGCACTGTTGAAAATCGCCTGTAGTGATATACCGGTTATAGTGATAACATGTGAAAAATCAGAAGGGCACGTTATAACCGATATCTACTGTACAATACTAGTCAACTTTTTTTTTTTAACTCTGCAACTCAGATCGCTAAAATATTCCATCGCGAATTGGTGCTGATATAGAAAATGCTAATAAAAAAATGCCCGCTAAAATTAGCCCCTCTACAGTCCTGTGTAAGCAGAAATATTCGTCTGGAATTTAATTTCGTCTTTTTCGTCCACGGAGCTTTTGGACTAAAATAAATGCCGGACTAATGTAGATTTGTCCAGCTTTTCAATACACTCGTATGATCATGGACGAAATTTACAGCCGGACGAACTCCCTTTCTTTGGAGTTGGACGAAATGATTGACCGACGAAATTTTCTGCTTATACAGTACGCGATCCACTGCATCCTGTTATATTTTGTGTGCACTACGGCTTCCTAGCTGCTAGCTGGTGTTGCTGCTAAACCTGTGCGGATGATGTGACAGCCATTGGACCGACAAACAAGATCAGCAGCTTACATGGACATACAGTGACAGGTGTGTTCAGGCCCGGCAGGGAGGACTTCAAGACGTCGTCGCAGCGCTGCGCTGGAGTCCACCTTCGTGTACATTTCCACAAGGCGAGCCGTTTGCTTCTGGCCAGTACCAGGGAAGAACTCCTTCTCTTCATGCGATTCAGGTTCAGCAGGCGGAGGGTGCTCGTCTGGCTTTGACACGACAACTTCGACTTTGTAGTCGCAAGTTTAGCTGGCGAGCAGACAACTGTGGAAAGTGCTGGTCACTGTCAGCATTCCCGTATGGCCATACGAAGTCATGCAGATCCTTAAAGGGGAAGTTAAGGCAAAAATTAAAATTTCACCAGTTGTAGTCTTCGGGGTGCTGAGTCGAATGGTCGTGGTTCGAGGAAGCTGAGACGCTCCCTTCCTACTTGAATCCCAATCGAACTCGCGCACTTCCACCGAAACTGGGTGACTGCGCCCTACTACATGGGGATTTGTATGCAAAATGTCACTAAAAGCGCCATTTCGTTCTTATAAAAGCACGGATGACCGCGATTGGCCCATATGTTGTACTCTTTTGGACGCTGAGTCGACTGGTTTTGGTCCGAAAAGGCTGCGATGCAGCGTTCCTCCTTTATTCCCAATCGAACATGGTTGAACAAGCGGTCACGTGCTCCTGCGTACGCCAGTCACCTGGTCACCGTGCCTGCAGGGTACAACTTACTAGCCTGTTTGACCTTTTTTGGGTTCACTCCTGTCACTCGAGTTGAACCTTGGTGTGAAAGTTGTCGCCTGCTGGCGTGGTGACCAGGTGATTCGGGCACCCAGGAGCACGTGACCACTTGTTCAACCATGTTCGATTGGGAATAAAGGAGGAACGCTGCATCGCAGCCTTTTCGGACCAAAACCAGTCGACTCAGCGTCCAAAAGACTACAACATATGGGCCAATCGCGGTCATCCATGCTTTTATAAGAAATAAATGGCGCTTTTAGTGACATTTTGCATACAAATCCCCATGTAGTAGGGCGCAGTCACCCAGTTTCGGTGGAAGTGCGCGAGTTCGATTGGGATTCAAGTAGGAAGGGAGCGTCTCAGCTTTCTCGGACCAAGACCATTCGACTCAGCACCCCGAAGACTACAACTGGTGAAATTTTAATTTTTGCCTTAACTTCCCCTTTAATGCCTGGCACAGACCTGTAGACTGTGCTCAGCTCATCCTTCCAGGTCTTCAAGTCGGCAGCGTGAAGCTCCTTGGCTTTGCCGTAGCGGGCTGCTGTTGTGAACACATCCACCTTGTAGAAAGTATGTGCTAGCTGGGCAAACACGGGACCAGGTGAAAACTTGGTATGACCTGGAATCATGAGCAGAAAGCGAGCCTCAGTGAGCCCGCCTGTGCTGTCTCGCTGGCTCACCGAAGTAGGCGACGACCTACTGATTCCTGTTGACCTGGGCACTACGCATGACAAAAACACCCACGCTCGATCCATGGTGGCAGTCGGTGCAACACATCCTCAAGACACGTGACCAGTGTGAGCGCTTGTCTCGGCTCCACCAATCGACTCGTTGAAGACGTGGAATGAAGGCAGAACCGTTGCCAGGGACGACAGTGCCCATGGTGTCCTGCTCCAGCTTCGTTTTATAGTACGGGCTCCCAGGATGGGCCGCGGAATCCCAGTCAGGTAGCATACTGAACATCTGATAGCAGTCAGACTGCCGCAAATTCTCCGAGCCTTGCATATGTAGGATTCCCTTTCCTAGGACAAGATTCCCATTCTCAGGTTTCACCAGGCACTCAAATTGCTCATATCGATAGTAAAACTTGTCATCGAGGAGAAGAGAGAGAAAGGCAAGAAACACGTGAGCATGCGCGCGGCTTACAAGGCCAGCGATTCGTCACGTGGACAGGAGCAGGAAATACGAAATACAAATGTAAGAAATAACAATCGTCACACAATGATTCCAGTAATACTCAAGTAATCATTGGCCTATACTACACATACTCCTTGTCATGATCCGTAGCACGTGAGGTCAGCGTCGGCAAAGTTGAAATGGCATCAAAGTCCCTCGCACAACGATCTGTGTATGTGTGTGTGTGTGTGTGTGTGTGTGTGTGTGTGTGTGTGTGTGTGTGTGTGTGTGTGTGTGTGTGTGTTTGTACCGTGTGTACCGTGTGTGCACGCGCGTGTTTGTTTCTTGCAATCAGAACCATACGGTCTACCAGACAGGAATCGACGAGACCAACCCACACATCACGCTCTTCTGGCAGGCCCTGGAGTCGTTCTCTCAGGACGAGCTGTCTCGCTTCATCAAGTTTGCTTGCAACCAGGAACGATTGCCTGTGACCTGCCCTTGTCAGTCTAACCCGGACAATTCTCATGTTCCACCGTACCCCATGAAGATTGGACCAGCGGATGCTACTAGTAGTGAGTCTCTCTCTCTCTCTCTCTCTCTCTCTCTCTCTCTCTCTCTCTCTCTCTCTCTCTCTCTCTCTCTCCCTCTCTCTCTCTCTCTCTCTCTCTCATCTATCTCTCTCTCACTCACTCACTCTCTCTCTCTCACTCTCTCTCTCTCTCTCTCTCTCTCTCTCTCTCTCTCTCTCTCTCTCTCCGCATGTGAATAGTGTAGGTTCTTGACAGCTGTTACTGACCCGAAACAACCATATCCTCTTCCATATCCACCATAGTTAACACCAACAATTAATGTCATGTGTGTGTGTGTGGGGGGGGGGGGGGGGGCTGCTTGAAGGTGTATTGTTGTACCTACCACCTTTGTTGGTTTCAGGGTTCATATACTTTCTATTTGAAGTATACATACCTGGTAAGCATGGACTGCTTCTGGCTACTGTATAAGCAGAAAATTTCGTCGGTCAATATTTTCGTCCAACTCCAAAGAAAGGGAGTTCGTCCGGTTGTAAATTTCGTCCATGGATCGTAAGAGTGTATTGAAAAGCTGGACAAATCAATATTAGTCTGGCATTTAATTTAGTCCAACAGCTCGTTGGACGAAAAAGACGAAATTAAATTCCAGACGAATATTTCTGCTTGTACAGTATATTAACTCTTGTGTAATCAATGGTGCTAGTGAAGCTTATATCAGATCCACTCTGATTTAGCCACCCACACTAGTACCAAGTATTACCTTCACTGGTGGCAGGGGTACCTTCAGTTGGATCCCGGGGCGGATACCCTGATGCCGTCAATCCTTTTCTGCACCTTGTCCTCACCCACTTACTGAGGTGTGGTGAGCCCATATGTGGGATCATTTCAAGTCCACCCTAGTTTGGGGATTTCAGGGTGTGTCGGCCGTTGGGTGGTTCAATGGCCAATTGAGTCATCTTTCCAAGATTCCTTTTGACTTTTTGAGTCTCTCTCCCCTCTCCCGGGGAGACCCACGTGACCAGTTTTGGCAGTGAGCAAGTACAAGTGTGTGTGTGTGTGTGTGTGTGTGTGTGTGTGTGTGTGTGCGTGCATATGTGCATGTGTGTGTTTTCTGTCCGTGTGTATACGTGCATCTTGCCACAGACGTGGAGCCAGACAAGCGATTCATCCGCGCCGAGACCTGTATGTTCCTCGTCAAGCTTCCGCTCTACTCCTCCTTGGAGGTGATGCGAGAGAAAATCCTCCACGCCATTCATTGCCGTGACGATCCTCTGTCTATGTGAGAGCTAGTACTGAGCCCAGGTCAGATGATGTGTGCCTCACATTGCTGCCATGCTCCTGCCATGTGCCACTCTCTGGTGTTTAGGGGAGTATTGACCCCAGGTCGGGGTCGTTGTGCCTCACATCACCATCTTGTTCAAGCTCCTGGCCACTCTCCGGCGTTGACGGGTATTGACCCCCCAGTCGGGGATGTTGTGCCTCATATCGCTACCATGCTCCAGCTCTTTGCCCTTGTCCGCGGTTTCAATCAGGACGCAATCATATGCATGCTTTACACTGTACACTCCCTGTTGAGCGAACCACAGAACTTCAAATCGGAGAGGAAGCCGGAATGGATACTGACAACGCCTATGTACAAACAAATATTATGATGTCCGCTGTCTACTTCCCAACAAACCTATCGTACATGTTTTATGCCGACAAAGATCTTGATCAACATAATTATTGTGCTAGAAACAATACGCAATACGCATGTAGCATGTACATGCTCCATTATTAGTGGTCATCTAGCCGCTGCGAGAGCTGCCAGGCCACCGGCTCCTTCATGATGATACTGGTGCCGACTCACAACAACCACGAAGTCGCTGTGGTGTGGTGCGGCAAATCGGGCATTCTGCTCGCATGCCCCCCCCCCCCCCAGCGGAGCAGAACTATTCGGTGTCACCGCCTGCATGTGTGTGTATGGCCGGTCACCTGGCACGGAAGCCATGAAGGCCGTCAAGGCGCCGTTGACTGGCGCAGAGCCCACGCCGTTCACTACGGCAACTGCCAATGCCGTTCTGACGGAAAACCTGACTCGACACAGCTCCCAGACGCACAATGCATGTGTGCCCAAAGCAACGGCATGAGGCAACAGCGGTGTCACAAGCACGTTCATTGCTAACAACCGGCGGTCCTCTTTCGCCAAGCCCGTACTGCGGCATTCGAACTCTGCAGTAGTCTATCTTACTCTGTCTCTCTAGCTCTCCGATAGCTCACTCCTACTCCCTATCCCATCCCTGCATATTTACATACATCTATTCTCTTCGCAATAATAGTTATTATAATTATTACTTTGCCTGATGAGATTTTCTATCGCCTTTTTTCCCCAGAGAATCGATCGACTAATCTATTTTTTAAGCGTCCCTGGTATTGCCTCTGCCGTCTCGGCGGACGCTGACGTGACCCAACTGAACCATGCACGTGCTAAATACTTTCTGTCGCACGTTTTTTTTATTTTACTTTGTGTTGGCGACGACCGCTGGACGCGAACAGCTGCGACCTACTGCATGCCGATGGCGTACTGCTGTTGTGTGATGTCATGTGACGTCATTGTGTTATGAGTAATTTATGACGTCATAACTATTGTGTCATGTTATAATATATGTCCATGTACTTGCGTGATGTCATGTGTGATCCTTTTTTTACCCCTACTGTATTGTATTTTCTCTTTTCTGCAAGACATGCTGTACATTTTTAGACACTATACATAGCAGATCATGTAACCGCTAGACGATTTCGGACTGTCCTTACTCTTGCGGCGCGCGCACCTCTCTAGGCTAGACTGCTCACTAGTGGTTGCCATGGCTACTTGGGTTTGCTGAGATCAGGGAGTAGTAGAATACCGGTATATTACTACTCCCTGGTTGAGACCCATAACCTCCGGTGGCGGTGGGTCAGTTGTGGGTGCTCCATGGCTGCTCGTTGTGTATCTGAACTTGTGTTGCACATATGTTCATCCTTCGCCATTTCAAGTATCTATTTTTCTTATTCCTTCCTCTATTTTCATGTACATATACATGTACATTGTATTGTCGGCACGAAGGAGTGGAACGAAATCATCCATTGCACATGATATCTATGTTGTTCTTGTTTTTGTTTCTGTACGCTGTAATCTGTACTCCGACGATGGTCCGTAGCCAATGAAGAGATGATGTTGTGATCGGATGGTGGTTGCAAATGGGGTCTGCTTGCATGCACTGGTGACGGGACTGTTGATCACGTGACGGGACTGTTGATCTCGTGACAGGAGTCACGGGACTGTTGATCACGTGACGGGACTGTTGATCTCGTGCATGGCCACAGGTATCCCTTGGTGAATAATGTGCTCCAACAATGCATGGCAGATTCAGGCTGCTCGAAAAGCAGTGAAGGTGGCAGAAGCATAGTGATACAAACCTTATGGCAGACACTTCCTTGAAATGAACTCCGCTCCATTTCTTTATCCACATACCAAACATGAAACTATGGACTAGGGGTCAAAGGGGTGTTCCGGGTACCCGGGTACCCGACCGTTAATCTCAGGTACAGTTAGTAAAAGGGTACCCGTTTGGATTTCGGTGATCCAGTCAGTACGGAACCTCACTGTTGGGATCACGCATACCAGGCAGGAGTCAATTATTTACAACCCCACCCTGGATGTCTGCATTGTTGTTGCATTTTGCAGTAGATCTACCTCTGCGACTATCAGACACCAATCAATCCTGAAAACAGATAAATCAAAATCAGGATTTAAGTGAAAATTGCACACAAATTAAACATGGCTGCTAAAGGGTACCCGTTAGCGTCGTTAAGAAAATTACCCGTTCGTTAGTTAAAGGTACACCCGTTTGACCCCTACTATGGACGGTACCATTCGGCGGAAGAACAATACAAGTTATACAACGAACTCAACATGAACAAACTCTCCTCCGCCATGCGCCGACCACTGTCCGTCGGTAGCCATTGCTCATACCGATAGTTTCAAATAACGAAGGGGTCACGGGTAAAACGTTTCCTTCTGACAGGCTGCTTGGCCTATCAAAGGCTCGTCAGAGAAGGTGATACTGGATATTGTACTGGATATTGTACTGACATGGCGAACACAGTAACACCTGGTTTAAGCGACCACCCCGCGGTGCAAGCAAAAGCGGTCGATAAAGCCAGGTGGTCTTTTGAACCAGGTCCCACAGTTTCTATGTAGAACTGTCCGTGCAAGGGAAACCGGTCGTTAAAAGCAGGTGGTCGATAAACCCAGAGGTCGCTTACACCAGGTTTTACTTTATTGTAATAATTATTGACATGGCAAATATGCATGAAACCTACCAGAAGTACCAATTTCACCTCGCTAACCCACAAAATCCGGAGTTCGTGTAAAATTTACTAGTAATTGACGTTAATTAAAATATATGGCCTGTTAAAACAGTAGAATGCAATAAGTTGATGGAGAAGCGCGGCCCCCAGTGTCCACAGTATAATGTCATCAATATATTCCTGATGGAAAATTGTGTGTTGCTCCCTACATCATGTACATGGGAACTCGCTCTTTTCATGCCGACTCACTTGACTGACTCACCACTGCCATCCAGAGAACACGAGAAGTCCATCGAACCGTCCACTCGGCAAACCTGCAAGAAAGCATCACTCCCTGCTCATTACACAATGTTTCGGGGAATTCACCCCTCAACAGTTGAGCTTGAGGACTACTCATGAGTAGGCTGAGGAAGATTGTGCCTGAAGAGCACCACTTATATAGTGCTCTCCAGCCACAAACATCACCAGGGATACAAACTTACAGAGATGCTCCGTTTCCAGCGCAACAAACACCTCGTGAACACCAGATGGCAGCGTGAGTCAGTGTCGCTCATGGAGGTGCTGCACAAGCGCTGAGGACCGTTTGCCATTCACAACGTTGTTGCCTCCAAAGCATCTAATTCGCAAGCCCGCGCTGGGGACAACAATGTGAAGAAGAGGTTGGTGCGACTTCGGCGATACTTGGTATTGCAGGGAGTGGTGCTTTCTTGCAGGTTTGCTGAGTGGACGGTTCGATGGACTTCTCGTGTGCTCTGGATGGCAGTCGTGAGTCAGTCAAGTGAGAATTCAAGTCGGCAGGAAAGGCGCGAGCTCCCATGTAAGGAGCAACACATAATTCCCCAAGTATCGCCGAAGTCGCACCAACCTCTTCTTCACATTGGAAACGGAGCGTCTCTGTAAGTTTGTATCCCTGGTGAGAATTCAAGTCCGCAGGAAAAGCGCGAGCTCCCATGTAGGGAGCAACACACAATTCCCCAAGTATCGCCGAATTCGCACCAACCTCTTCTTCACATTGGAAACGGATCGTCTCTGTAAGTTTGTATCCCGGGTGAGAATTCAAGTCGGCAGGAAAAGCGCGAGCTCACATGTAGGGAGCAACACACAATTCTCCAAGTATCGCCGAATTCGCACCAACCTCTTCTTCACATTGGAAACGGAGCGTCTCTGTAAGTTTGTATCCCTGGTGAGAATTCAAGTCCGCAGGAAAAGCGCGAGCTCCCATGTAGGGAGCAACACACAATTCCCCAAGTATCGCCGAATTCGCACCAACCTCTTCTTCACATTGGAAACGGATCGTCTCTGTAAGTTTGTATCCCGGGTGAGAATTCAAGTCGGCAGGAAAAGCGCGAGCTCACATGTAGGGAGCAACACACAATTCTCCAAGTATCGCCGAATTCGCACCAACCTCTTCTTCACATTGGAAACGGAGCGTCTCTGTAAGTTTGTATCCCGGGTGAGAATTCAAGTCGGCAGGAAAAGCGCGAGCTCCCATGTAGGGAGCAACACACAATTCCCCAAGTATCGCCGAATTCGCACCAACCTCTTCTTCACATTGGAAACGGAGCGTCTCTGTAAGTTTGTATCCCGGGTGAGAATTAAAGTCGGCAGGAAAAGCGCGAGCTCCCATGTAGGGAGTAACACACAATTCCGCAAGTATCGCCGAAGTCGCACCAACCCCTTCAGGCCCTTCTTCAAATATATTCATGATGGTGGTCATTTTATGGTGGGGAGGGGGAGGGGAGGGGGAGAGGGAGGGGAAGGGGGGAGAGAGAGGGGAAGTTTTTTTCCTCACTGTTTATTTCTATTGCATGATTTGCATCAGGAGATCCCCTCGACAGGCCATCGCCTCTGGGAGATCCTTTAATAAAGATTATTATCATTATCAAGAGGGAGAGAGAGGGGAAGAGGGAGAGAGAGGGAGGGAGAGAGAGGGAGGGAGAGAGAGAGAGAGAGAGAGAGAGAGAGAGAGAGAGAGAGAGAGAGAGAGAGAGAGAGAGAGAGAGAGAGAGAGAGAGAGAGAGAGAGAGAGAGAGAGAGAGAGAGAGAGAGAGAGAGAGAGAGAGAGAGAGAGCTGCCTGAAGACATACATGTACGACTCATACCTAGTGATATCCCAGGCATACTGTCCCTACGCCGGTGGAAGCATTCGACAGTATTCAATGCAATCTGGGTGACTGCAAGAATAAATAACCTTGCACAACACACTCATTCGACGTTTCAAGCGGAGTCTCAAGATAACATTTGGCTACCCAGCAGCCACCATTTGTCACCGCCACAAAATATTCCAGTCGCCATCCGTTATAAGTTATAACTTATAACCTTATAATAATTATTTCGCCTTGTTTTATAAATGTGTGCATGGCCGCCACAGCCCCCTCTTTGCAGAGTTTCCTTTGTTTTTAGGTCAAATATTCACCCTACGCTGGCTACGGAAGCCTTGACCAGGGGATAGTACACCCTCGCTTTAGCCCTACCTAATGCTTCTTCACGATATGGCTTCTCTTTGCAAAACATACAGGTACCGGGTCTTTGATAGCTGGAGCTTTCTTCCATCTGGGTGCTGCTAGGCAGCTGCCTTCGTCATGCAGCAGAGGCTGCGTAGAAGGCTGTTATGTTATAACAACCTTCTACATAACCTCTTTTGCAATACGTAATGGCGTAGTATGCAGCCTCGGTTTTTCATTCAACTTGTTTTACCTACTTTATACCTCGAGCACCCTGTAAAATGGCGTATTGTCTGCAGGGATTGCCCTTGTAAAATAATAAATTTAGTAGCAGTGGTGAGGCTTCCTGCAGCTTCATTCATAAAAAGGGTTTCAGAGCAGACTCGCTCTCTTCCCATTCACTCTGCAAACGTTAAACTCGAACTCATTTGATCAATTTTTTACAACGTTTCAGCAAAATTGCCCTCATCAGGTATACAATGGTGTACCAAACATACAGGTACCTGACGCTGGCTGCTATTTTTGCTACATCTTACACCAGTGCACTGTGCATTATCATTTTGTTGGAGTGTGTGTGTGTGTGTGTGTGTGTGTGTGTGTGTGTGTGTGTGTGTGTGTGTGTGTGTGTGTGTGTGTGTGCATGGGTTTGTGGGTGTGCGTGGGTGTCTGTGTGAAAGCACTTCGGCGGGCTTTTCGTGAATTTATCACCGCATTGTCTTCTTTGAATAATTGTTGTTGGTATCATACTTCTTTGAGGTATCATTATCTTTATGATTCTGGCACGTCACGGTGGGTCCGATGTAGCATATCATACTTCATAGCGTCACAAATTGCATGTACATGTATATAACTGCTCCTTTGCAGACCTGCACACCATTGTATACCTGATGAGGGCAATTTTGCCGAAACGTAAAAAATTGACCAAATGAGTTCGAGTTTAATTTGCAGAGTGAATGGGAAGAGAGCGAGTCTGCTCTGAAACCCTTTTAAAAAATAATAAATGCAACAAAAATAGAACAACTCTATTTGTGCTGGCCCTGACTAATAGCGGAAGCACATGAGAAACTGGTTGCCTAGAGCAATGACGGAAGAAACGCTGATGTGATCTCATCCGGGTGAGGGATGAGGTGAAACCACCAAGCAGTCAGGGTCTTGCTTCTCAGCCTATGCCATAATTATACTGCTGCCAATCTGCTGTTGGGTACGGCGCTCTATTGCTATTGCCTCTGTTAGGAGCACTTTCTCTGTGATGTGGATAGGGAAGGTGGGATTTCCCAGTACAAAGGCAAATCAATGTTGCCAGTGTCAGTATGCCCAGGTGAGGTGGTTGATAAGGGTTTTCGCAACTACTGTAAATATACAAATTTTCGGCAGCTATTTAATTTCGGCTATATTCGGCACCGACCCAAAACGCCTAAATTAAAACGCCGATGAAATTTTTCACAGCATCTGTCGCACTATACCATCCCCTTTACCCCACGCCGAAAATAAATCGCCGCCAAAATGTCAAAAATCGTGAAGTGCCGAAATTTTGCAGCGCCGAAATTTTGTATATTTACAGTACGTTCCTTGGCCCTTGGGCCCCTTTGCTGGTGTTGCTAGGTTGCATATGCCAGGTATTGACCTTTCATCTCACAATAGTTGAGGGTCAGCAGCAATGCAACAATGTGGTGGAAGGAGCATGCAATGCTGCAGTGCAAGTGCAAATCACTTCGAGTACATGCCTTTCTTTTAGCACTGTAGCACACACTTCGCTCTCCTTCTTCTTTTGAGATGCCCAACACTTAGCCTTGACAAAGTATCTCTGCGGTCCAGAATTATTTTGGCTCTGGGAAGCAACACTTTTCTGTTGCTGGTGCTCTGCTGTGGAACGCTCTCCCTGGTGAGGTCCGCACAATTACCCGGCTACCTGAGTTTAAGCATGCATGTGTACCATACGCCTGTAGGGAGTAGTTCGAGTTGCTGCTGATCGCTCTGCTCTCCCTCCCCGTGCAGTTCAGTAGCCCGCACGTAGTATCGCAGATACATCGTATTCTCTCTCTCTCTCCCCCCCCCCCCCCGTATCCTATTCTCTTACTATGTGCTTCCATAGCTTTTACTATGTTCTTCCATAGCCACTTCTAGGCTAAGCCTTCGCCGTCATTTTATTGGGTCGTCATCCCGTTTGAATGTGCGAAGTGAAATAAAAACCAACCAACCAACCAACCAACACTCAACACCGAATGGTTTCTGTGTCGTTAGGTACCTTTCTCGATTCTGAAGATGCTGGAGCACAGCACTAACAGAAACACCACTAAGTCTTAGCAAATCCTCCCAGCGATGGCTCCATACCGGTCTGTTTGTTGAGCAGCATCTATGATTTGATGGATTCACCGGAGAAGCAGCTTCTTCGGTTCCCGATGCAGATGGTGTCAAGGTATTCGCTGCTGTAGCGACCAGTGAACGGATTTTCATCGCCCTTTCGCTGCTCGGCGCCGACTTCCATCATTGTCCCTCGTCCTAAGCTCTGGGGCGTTGGGAATAAAATCTTTCCGTCTTACCTCTGCAACAAATAATCTCGCTTTCCATCTACCGGTATCTCTTCCTTACGTAAGTCTTCAGCTGAGCAAAAGTCCATCTAGCAATCATTTCGCCCACACTTTGGCCACAGGTGAGTTCGCAAAACGAGAAGCAATTGCTGGTGTACTACTTCTAGCTGCCATGTCCGGCCCATGTCCGGCCCATGTCCGGCCCATGTCCGGCCCATGTCCGGCCCATGTCCGGCCCATGTCCGGCCCATGTCCGGGTACCGGGTATCAAAATGAAAAATTGAAAGCAAACTACATATAGTACTAGTTAACTATGCACAAAGGTGTCAGAGTTGCTTTTCTTCATCCGAAAATTTCCTCCAACGGAATGCTAAAATGCAGTAACTGTAACAGTGGAACTGCATGCATTCCATTCATGCACGTGCAGTACCTGATCTCGTAAGCGCGCAATAAGCCTAAAATCCGTGTACTCGTACTTTGCACATCCCGTGCGCATGCGTGTACTTGACAAGCTAAGCCTGCACATAGCATGCATTGCATGCCCTCTCAACTTTTCGAGCGCTGCATGTCATCAGTTTATTCTGGTCGTGGATGACCTGTGCATCTCTCTGGAGGCCTTAGTCTTCTTAAGTCTTAGATCCACGCCGTGCCTTCGTGGCTTGCTGGCATGCCATTTTATTCAGACTGAGACACGTTCAGTCATCATGCATGGCATCTCTACTCGTGATGGTGACAAGTTAGTCTGGGAGTGGGAAGGGTTTCCCCCTCGGACACCAGCCATTGGTAAAACCGGTTCATTCAAGGCACAATGCGTAGCCTATAAAAGATGGTCCGGTGGCCGCATGGCACAGACAATGTAACTCTGATCGACGGTGACGATGGCCTGTTTGTTGGCTTGCTGACGACTAGTGAGTAGTGTGCTTGTAGACGCATACCCCGCTTCCTCTGCTCTTCCTCTGGTCCTTCAACTCCTTCATCTTTCACGTCTTGGCATGGTAAGTGTGATAGACACACCATACAATACGAAGAACAACGTGTAGATTGCACATCCTATTGACTGCCTCTGGTTTTTCAATCAATGTCGGAGACCTACAGGTCAATGTACAATGGTCGATCTGTCTGTTATATACCGGCATTAGCGCACTGGTCGATCTGTCTGTTATATACCGGCATTAGCGCACTGGTCGATCTGTCCGTTATAATACCGGCATTAGCGCACTCCATGCATGACACATCCTGTTATCAATTCCGCGCGGTTTATTGATGAGACCAATTTTGGACCCAAAATGTATGTTACTGCTTACTACCTGTGCCAGCAAGTCTGAACATTGCTGATGCTGATGCTGGTGGTGGCAGTTGTGATGTGAGGACTGAGGGTGGCATTGTTGCTTGCACATTTCGTGAGCAGAAATCCGTTCGTCGAGCAGTCTGAGCCACTCACTGAGTGCGTTCGATTACACGCGCGGATCGATTCACGAATCGATTCATGAATCGATTCGCGCTATTCACATCACCCCATGTGAATACATGTAGAGTGAATGGATTCCGAATCGATTCCAGGGCTCATGACATGAAAATCGAACGACTTGAATGCATGCGAATGGATTCATGAATCGATTCAAGTGTGTAATCGAACGCACTCACTGCCTCAGACACGTCATCATGGTCATTGAGCCCCTGCAGGATGTACAGCTAGCCCCAGGTTACCCTGATACCCCTGATACCCATGATTCATTGCCATGGCATGAGTCGATACTGATAACTGGCTGTCCTTCACACCAGGGAGTCGTAAAAGCCCGCCCCCCCTGGTATATGGTCCTGAGCATCGATAAGCCATGATGATTATTGAAAATGGGTTTGAGTGTGGTATATCTACGTCCGCATAATAATATTGGAGAAGCAAAATAGTAGACCTACCCATTCCCAGCATGCAGGCTGCAAACCACCGTCCTTCATTTTTCTGTGATCACAGCGTTGCTACACTCATGCTGTAGTCATAGTGAGAAAAGAACCTTGGCCTTGTAAACTACATGTGAGCGGAGAGAGAGAGAGAGAGAGCTAGAGAGCAGCAAGAAATCCCAGTTCATTTCCGAACTCACTGCGCTGCATGGAAGTCCCCGTTCTAGCTTGTCTCTACGTTGTGTTACATGACTGTACGTATTTCGAAGTGCTAGTAGATCTACCCGCGGAATGTCCTTGACGCAGAGCGAAGGAGATCTAGTTCTGTTTGTTCGCCTAGCTGGCAGCGACACTGGACAGGCCCATGGCAATGCATCTTCTCGGAATGGTCACTCCAAAACGGTTCGCTGTTGCACCGGTTTATTCGGGGGGAGGAGAGAACTGGTTTGCTTCGTTGACCACTCTTGACTGGATGTGGTGCTTCCGCGAGCATATGATTGCATTGCTTTCCAGGTTAGCACGGGTGGTTTTAGCGTAGTATAGCATTTATCCGTTGATTCTAGTGAGAAGTTGAACTGTGGTTTGTATTGTAGGCCAATGCATCATCGCGTCATTTCATGGATTGCTTTCTGGACTCTTGTTTTACGATGTATATCATGTAGCTTCGCTCGGCACGTTAGCTACTGCAACGGACTGTTAACGGGAACAGACGCACGTGCCAAGCTGCAGTGCACCACAACTGAGTCGTAACCAAGGCCAGCGCAACGATCGGACGTCGATCTACCACATTCACAAGTCAGCATGCGCTGTCACGTCTGTCCGTACCTGGCGACTGTACCATGTGTACTGATTGTGCTGGCGAGCAGGATTGCTGTTAGCGCGGCATCTACGACTGGAGCGCTAGCGACGACCAGCGCCAGCGGGTCGGTGTGCAGCAAAGATCTCGAAGGTAGCCTTCCAGGTGAGTCAGCACGGTGCCGCTCGAGATTTCCCATTTCCCTAGAGTCTAGCCCCATACCGTCCTTGCATGCTCAGTTTCGTAATCATTTTGCATGTACACAGTCGTTGCCAGAAAAATCCGGCTAATGCTATAGTATGCTAGCTACCAGAACGGCAGTAGCTGTGTGCTACTGCCGTTCTGGTAGCTAGCAGCGGCATGCACTGCCATTGCTAGTTCTGTAGCCTATTTTGGATAGCCTGAGGCTAGTGGCACGGCACATGCCCTGCTGCCAGGCCTGCTGCATACACTCAGTACAGACAGTGCTGGACCCGACTGCATGCAGCGCGCAGACTGTTCAGTGCTGTCATCTCACCCCCCCCCCCCCCCCCCCCCCCGCAGAGAGGCAAGTGTACGTATGTGTGGTGTACATGTGTGGTGTGGAACTAACTCTCCGGGTATTGACTTGGCTTCGAATGCCTGTGGGTAAGCACATGACACGCAGCAGCAACATTCCGTAAACATCTTTCGTGTAGCGGTCATGTTTTTTGGGCGTGCAGCTGTCCATGATATGCGACCTGGTCATGTGCCTATCGGCGCATATCAATGTCCGTCTGTCCAGGCTTGTGCGCAGTCAAAAGTGTTTACAGAAGGCACTAACGACACGTGAGACGTCCGTGTGACATGCTCAAGCGTGTTCGTAAAGCCTAGTGCCGACGCCGGCAGACCGTGTGTCAGTCCAGTTACAAGTTACTTACAACACTCCATGATCCTTGGACAACATTGTGTGTGTTTGTGTGTGTGTGTGTGCGTGCGTGTGTGCGTGCACGCGCGTGCGTGCGTGCCGGCCCAGCGCAACACAGCAAATATCCGAATATGGTCCATGCTTCCAAGCCCGAGAGTGCAAATAAAATCAAGCCAGAGCGAGGGCTGATGATTTTGTCCGTCAGGTAACGCATTAGGAAAGCCAACAATTGCACAGGGCCAAAGCCTGTGAAAATCCAACGTGCAAGCTTAGATGCTCGGCATGCGTCTCCAAATGAAGCGTGGGGATATTGTAGATCTGACATGATAATAGTAATAATAATAATGCATGATTCAATTGGCACCATACTGGCGATAGCTAGAGGAATCTACCCGTGCATTGGGCCAGTGTGCTGAAAAACGGCAGTGTGGAAAACTCGGGGTGGGTGCTTGCAGACAATTGCGCCAATGTCCTTTCTCTTGGGTATTCCTCACTGATCATCGGGTCAATAGCTTGAAGGAGTAGCAGCAGCAGCATCATCGCTGAACAGCACTACAGACAATGATTCTAGTTCCATTTCCGCTGCTTCGTAGGTAGAGCCACAGCGCTCTATGCTGAGTTATGCTAGCAGTGCATGAAGAACAGCCTTCTCCAAAACGGGTAAGGCACTTTGCGATGTTTTTGGTAGAACTGGCACTCGGTTGAGAACGGTACTTTTTGCAGCAGTCAGACAACAAACCTTGTCACTCTCTAGAGAAAATAGATCGTCGCTCTGACAGTTTTTGTCGAAGTCCCTAAGACCCTGATGACTTAGTATTACGTAATGTTGCAGCTCAGCATGCAACCCTGTCAGTCTGTCAGTGTGTGTCAATCTTGATGGGCAGCGTGGCTGTCAGCGACTTGGCAAAGGGCCACGCTTTGCCTAGCAGTGTACTGGCAAGGCATGCCGCTCTGCACTGATGCACACAGCTGCATGGTTCCCGTCCACTGGGTGCTGGATCAGTCTATGCCGGCATGTGCTCCGGGTCCGGAGCTGCTCAGCCTGCCCCGTGCCTCGTTACTGCATTAGCGCCTGACCTCACACTGAGTGACTCATATTATTGAGAGATTCTCTGACCTATCACGGTAAAATGAGATATAGTACCAGGCAATGGCCATACCCCCAGCTCTGGGTTGTCTATACGATGGCCATACCCCCAGCTCTGGGTCGTCTATACAATGGCCATACCCCCAGCTCTGGGTCATCTATACAATGGCCATACCCCAGCTCTGGGTCATCTATACAATGGCCATACCCCCAGCTATGGGTCATCTGTACAATGGCCATACCCCAGCTATGGGTCATTTGTACAATGGCCATACCCCCAGCTCTGGGTCATCTGTACAATGGCCATACCCGCAGCTCTGGGTCATCCCATTAATAACAAAACGAAACAATCTGGAAAATCAAGACTCGGGATGTTGAGGCAATACTTATTGTTAAGAGAGAGAGGGCCAGTACACGTCAGCACACCTGGGTATTTTCAATTTTTTTCACACCAAACACCGCCCTACCGATGAACTGTGACGGAGAATCGGTAGACAGCAGTCGGCAGGGGCCACGTCAGGTATCTGCTGCTGCCCGGAGCGAGGCAAACAGGGTATGCTGGGAATTACTGCATCATTATGGCAGTGTAGTCTTGAACAGACTACAGTCCATTCATCCAAACTAGTCTCGCTTGCTTTTGAAAGCCCGAATTTGGCCGAATTCAGGCTCAGAAGCCCACTTTGAGGTTGAAAATCTGGGTTTGGGATCTGCCTCTCCATACATTTGCCATGGCTTACCTGTCCTAATTTTGTAAAACCTGACTGAATTTCTACTTCCCAATCCTTGGACTTATTCTGGCCTCGAAAGTGGCAGGGAGTAATTGCACGGGTCACACAATGCAGGATGTACTGTTGTTTTCACGATATCCGCAACTATACACGGGAGACACCAAAAAGTTAGAGTGTCTCTTTCAAGGTTTCCAAGCAATGGGCTGTAGTAGGCTTGGCATCGAAACCTCTTGATTCACACAGCACCGTGCCCCATCAGCAAGTCTGTGCCATCAAAACATGGATGCTTTACTAAAAACTTCTCTGCCCAAAGTCTGAACAGTAAGACATACGCAGCTTTGTCCAGGGCCAAGACCGTGGCATAAAAGTAAAAAGTAAAAGTAAATTATCGTGTCTGTTCCCGAAGGAAACTCACGACGGCCACCAACGGTGGGGGTGAGTGGATAAGTCTCACAACCGCTGGCAAAAGTGCTGAGAAAGACCCCATTAGCCGAATCCATGTACCCCTTGTGCCTGGCCACAAGTTCCCAGTTGACTGTGGGTAGCAGCACGGCTGGAAAAAAACCCTCCCAGGCAGGACTTGAACCAGGTACGAGTACCTCTCGTATCTTACTATGATCGTGGTCTTTGACCAACCCACTGTTCCTGCATGTAGTCCGTGGCATACAGTCCATTCATTTGAAACCGGAGAAGTTGCCTTTTGGGTGCGTTGCGCACACAGTGGTAGATAGCGGTCGAAAGAGCTGTACATCCTCCATTGTGTGGCCCGTTCTCTCTTCTTCAAGTCTTTGCCACGTTTGAGGCAGGAAAAGTCTTATGCTAGGGCGATAGAGATCGGCCAGGTTTTACAAATTAAGACAGTCATATAAAGGCAAAGTGTATGAAGAAGCATGTCCCGAATCCAGATTTCTCGAATTTAAGGTGGGCTTTGAGCCTTAGTGCAGCCACACTCTCCAAGCGAAAAAAAACACACTACAGGCTGCGAAGTTCACTCTTTCGTCCGTCACATGTGCCCGGCAGGGAGGAAACCTACGTCGAAACCAGGGTCCAGTTGCCCGCGGCTGTGCCATCAGCAATGCACCAAGCACTCATTTTCTTTCTCGCCTTTTCTCCATCTCTCAATCTCTCCTGCTTGTTAAATCATGTACCTGTTTTCAGGCGTACAAAACCCGTTATAGAGTTCGCAGTCCTCATTTGTTGGACTTACCTGTCTTTATTAATGTAACTCTCTCTCTCTCTCTCTCTCTCTCTCTCTCTCTCTCTCTCTCTCTCTCTCTCTCTCTCTCTCTCTCTCTCTCTCTCTCTCTCTCTCTCTCTCTCTCTCTCTCTCTCTCTCTCTCAGGGGTCGGAAATGGACAGTATAACACAGGCTTGGTCACGTTTGACTCACAATCCGCCACAGTGGAGACGAGACAGTTCATCAGCTCTCGTCCGTTTCAATCCGGGCTGCTCTTCACGTGCAGGGCGAAACAAATGGTTGGAGAAAACAGAAAATTGTCGATATGTCAGCGCGCTGTCACCGATAGTCTTCACTGTTATCCGTAAGCCAGTTTAAGCAGACGTGCGTATTTTTGTGTGCGTGCTTTGTGTGTGTGTGTTTTGTGTGTGTGTGTGTGTGTGTGTGTGTGTGTGTGTGTGTGTGTGTGTGTGTGTGTGTGCGTGTGTGCGTGTGTGTGCACGCATGTGCCTGCACATTTCTATACAGGTTACAATACACCTGACATATCAGCTTGGTAGGGCTCAAATAGCTCCACTCTGTAGTGAGAAGGCATAGCTGCTGCATGGGTTCTCAACATATCCAATAACAGGGATCAGTCGTAGTAACAGGGATCAGTAATGTTGTAGTAACAGGGATCAGTTGTAGTAACAGGGAGCAGTTGTAGTAACAGGGAGCAGTTGTAGTACCAGGGAGCAGTTGTAGTAACAGGGAGTAGTTGTAGTAACAGGGAGCAGTTGTATTAACAGGGAGCAGTTGTATTAACAGGGAGCGGTTGTATTAACAGGGAACAGTTGTAGTAACAGGGAGCAGTTGTACCGCAGTACAGTGGGTCCATTGTTGTTAGGCATATGCCAGTTTTGATGTCCACTATAACATTAATAATGTGTACAATTATGTGTACAACCGCAGCAGCAACGACAACAACGGTGGGGACGGCGACAATGACAGTAGCAGCAACATCTGTCTGTCTTTCTGTCTTGTTTGGCGAAGGCTTGATATCCACACAAAGACACACCAGAACAGGTCCAGCCCATGGATTCCCCAACAAATTGTGTGGTTCGCCTATCCATCGTTGAATTGTCTGTCTGATCTCTGTCTGTCTGTCTGTCTGTCTGCCTGCCGGTCTATGTTCGCATCTTTGCACTTTCCTGTCAACTGGCAGGAGCACAAAAGTGGTTTCCAATGGCTGCAACTACTTGGAAGCCACCCTTCCCATTGAACGGCACCATCTGAACACGGAAATGTGCTGCGTTGCTGGTACATTGCTAGGCCTCGCGGTGAAGGTCTGCATTGTTGTGAGGGATGAAAACACGGTTGTCTACTCAGTAAGGCGATTGTTTGTTTGTTTCTTTAGCTTTATTTTACTTCACCATAGGCACAGGCAAAATCTGCCTTCTCACTGGGTGTAGTGCCACATTTCTCGCAAAATGATGAAGATACGGGCATGATCTTTATAGAAAAGAAAAGGACCAAGGAACTACAAGTTACGCTATAATGTCCACTAACACCACCAATTACTAAACAATCAGCTCATGCGATAACATTGCACGACGCTGACCGACGGTGCTGACATTCTACAACTAACTGGCTATCAGCTCTGGCACATCTTGGATGCGCACTCCGACAGCCTTCCAACTTGGAAGGTTCTAGTAGCTGCTGCTGGTGGTGATAGTGGACATTATAGCGTAACTTGTAGTTCCTTGGTCCTTTTCTTTTCTATGAATTGGCTAGCGCAAGTAAAGATTTGTGTGTCCCCGGAGGAGGTACGCTATACTACAGGTTGGCTGTAGAATATGTACTGTCGTGGATGTTGAAATCCGATGGGATGACCGGAGCCAGCGCCCTTACTGCTTTCAGCGCGTACACGCCCTGTAGTTCCTGTACGCACTGAAATATTGGACCCGCTGTACTCTTGGCTGCAAGGCCAGCGCCCCGTGGTCGCTTCACTTCTCAACGGATTTCAATATCCAATACAGAACTACGGCTATATTACATGGAAGCCTTGTTTCTGTTTGCATGGTGCAGAGCTCACTGACTTGTCAGTTTGAGCACTCTGGCAAGGTACGTTCGGACTTGGTTTAAATCTGGCTTTGGAAAATATATGTTTCATTGCTATAGGGTTCGGCCTCATTTTCTCTGTGCTGCGCTGATGGGTCCACACAGGACGAAACAGTTCTGGCCGCAGATTGAGGGGAAGCCTTGTTTCATAGATTTAACGTGTTTTCGAAGTCAACAGCATGTTACAAGGCCAGGACGCACAGGGCTCCTGACTACAACCATAACGCGGCTGGCAGTCCCATATGGTTCAAATGGTCGCAAGACCGGAACTCTAGCAACCGTGTTATGGGTGTAGTCATGAGCACTGTACGTCCTCGCCTTGTAACTTGCTGTTGACTTCGAAAAACATGTTAAGTACTACAGCTGTAGTAAAACATGAGAACTTATTGGCTCGGCATAACACAGGAAGACGCGCATCAATGCCAGTGCTGTTGACTTGCTGTGTGTGCCGCTGCTTCCAGACGCCCGCACCGACACTCGGCGCGTCCAAGCCGAGCTGGCAAACATCTCCCTCGTCCTCACCGCCCTCCTCGTCGCCGCCAGCACCGGCATCATCATCATCATCACCATCGTCGTCGTCGGTGCAAGCCAGCACAACGCTACCTACATCGTCATTGATCGGCAGCACAGCTACTGCACCATCATCAATCAGCAGTACTGCTGCAACAAGTGCACTGAAGGGAACCACCGCAACCGACCCCGCAGCAGGAGGAAACACCACTGAACAAAAGAGTGAGTTAGGCTGGTCAGGGAAAAAAACTGCTGAAGCTGGTTATCACTGTGTAACGGACTGAAGTACTGGTCTTCATACACAGCTTGTCTTCATAGAGAGGTGGTCGTTATAGAGAGGTGGTCTTTGTAGAGAGGTGGTCCTCGTAGAGAGGTTGTCTTTGTAGAGAGATTGTCTTTGTAGAGAGATGGTCTTTGTAAGTTAGAGAGGTGGTCTTTGTAGAGGGGTTGTCTTTGTGGAGAGATGGTTCCTTGTCACAGTAGACAGCTGGTATTTATACAAGGGGGGAGGGGGTGTTGGGGGCATTGGTGGAATTCGTCAAGCAGCTCTCGTGCTTATTTCAACTGTCCCACCCTACATACTGATTTCAACTGTCCCACCCTACATACTGATTTCAACTGTCCCACCCTACATACTGATTTCAACTGTCCCACTCTACATACTGATTTCAACTGTCCCACCATACATACTGATGGCAGCGGTCTGATGTGTGGCTCGCCGAAAATTCCAAATCCTTTTTCTCTCGTCGTGCACCTGATGTGTCTTGCTTTTCTGCCCATGACACATACTGTAGTGTCTTGTATTAAAGCCCGTCTCGCACAGAAGCATGTTTTGAAAACAAGCCTGGTTTTCAAGATACACTGTCGGCACATAAGCCTAGTTGTAGTCTTCACATGCATATGTATACATATCTGATGTGAATAGAAACCTAGCCGTGACATCGTCTTCTACAGGAATACACCCGGCAATAATACGCAACAGTACGGTAGATATTTAATAGGGCTAAGACTATCGACTTCACAGGCCCGGCGGAAGCAATAGTTGATTGGTCCGGCCAAGTTTTTCGTCAGCACAGCACTTGTGCACGTGTGACACAACACAACGTCTCTTTGCCCATCGTAGGTCAACCAAGACCATGTCTTGAAATATGACGCCTGACAAGAGCGCTTCACCACTGTCTTTTTCCCAAATTCCCGCCGAGGAAACGCGAAGGAAGTGGTTGGGTGGACTGGCACTTCTGGCACAGATATTTCGCTGGAAGAAGCCATAGCTGCTAAGCATGCACTGCAGCTAAGCTGACCAAATAGCGAGAAAAATTTGAAAAACTACTTCGTTCAGTAAAAGAATCTGAAGCACTCGACGAAAAACCCTCATATCAAGACTACAAATAATTATTACAGGGTAGAATCCATCATGGCACGTGCTTTCAAGTCACGCGACTCCCACCACAGGCCCACGCCACAGCTAGCCCTCAAGTGCGCGCGCGCGTGCACGGCAAGATCAGAGCGAGATCGCAAGTACCCGTACATGCATGTAAAATCGATGATCACAACAAGTTACATAAAGTTACTGTGTCGTAAAAAAAATCGTCGGTGGCCGAAAAGTTGGTCCGGCCATGGCCGGACCGACCGGAGCAGCTCCGCCGGCCCTGCTTCACCCGCTTGGCGGAGTCCATCTGTTCTCCGAGATGACCTCTGCTTTCTATTATGTCGTAATGAAATGAAATGTATACATTGCTTTATTCAAGCGGCTTTCTCAATGTGCTTTCCTGGCTGGATGACTCCGATGAATGGTCATTTTTGTCCATGCTTGTGTTGAGTTAATTATGTGTGTGTGTGTGTGTGTGTGTGTGTGTGTGTGTGTGTGCGCGCGTGTTTGTGTGTGTGTGTGTGCGTGTTTGTGTGTGAGTGTGTGTTTGTGTGTGTATGTGCGGGTGTGTGTGCTTGTGTGTGTATGCATGTACACGTGCATGCACATGCATGTGTGTGTATGTGCGTGCGTGCTTGTGTGTTCGTGCATGTGCATCTCTGCCTACCCTGTTTTCTTCATAGCAGCGCCGTGGGTGAGCGACAACATAGTCACCCTCGTTCTCATCTCCCTGCTGGCAGTTTGTATTGCAGTGATTATTGCCCTCCTCTACAAGCAGCATAAGTTGTGTGCGATACGCGACATCCCTCGTTAGGGTGATCAGCGCAGAGATATGGAGGTGAAGGAAAATGTGGCGGGCGATGATCAGCAGAAAGAATGATACTGATGGTGAAATGCGGCATCTAACAGATTTCACTGCATGTCCAAAGGCTCATCCGCAGCTGCCGTAGCAGAACTGTTGCTCATGGATCTTCCATTGACCAAAAGTCAGCCGATGCAGCACAGTCCGGCGTCACAATGCTGGACGAGGGCTGCACATGTACGTGTAGGTGTACGTGCAGGTGTACGTGCAGGTGACGCGGAACTACGGACGCGCGTCACGCAAGTTGCTTCACGCTGCAGTCATCCAGCAGTGAAGCATTGAACGGTGAGACATTGACCAGCGAGGCATTCGCCAGTGATGCTCCAGCGCCCTGAGAGCACACACACACACACACACACACACACACGTACCGATGCTCTCCACCCAGTCCTGAACACAAAACACACACACCGACACAGCGGACTTAGCGACATGCATTGAAGAAGTATTGCCGAGTTGTCATGGCCTGTCTGTACAACGGTCGTTGTTGGAGCTGGGGGCAGGCCAAATATGCTGATTGACAATAGCACCTGGCACAAATCCTGACAAGGGATCGGCATAATATTGCAGCTGCAGCAATGCCGAAGTGAAGGAGATTTAGTACATTGTAGTGTACGAAGTTCTGGCATGGACACACATTCATTTTGGTGCAACTGCGTGCTGTGAACAGCGCCAGCATATATACGCACAAACTCTCTCTCTCATACACAAACACTTCTTTTCTCTTTTCCTTTCACATGCACCATGGTTTAAACCAGGAGTTGTAAACGAGATCGGTATTTTACCACTCCTGATATAAACTGGCTATTGGACACATAGCTGATCAGTACGAGTACTATGATCCATGTTAGTACAGGTTGCATTGCGCTGGCCCATGTTGCTATTTTACACGTTAATGCCGTGGACGACAGGAATGAACGCCGACGATGTTCTACGGCACATTCACACATGTACACACACATGCACACTTGCACACACACACACACACGCACACATACACACACACACACACACACACACACACACACACACACACACACATACACACACACACACACACACACATGCACACACGCACACACACACACACACACACACACACACACATACACACACACACACACACACACACACACACACACACACACACACACATTGAACCTTGAATCTTGAACCTTGAATCTTGAACCTGAACACATATCCAGAGTCAGACACGACGTCATCTGATCGGCGATCAGTGGGAGACGCAGATTTGCTTCAGTCTGTAACAACGAACCAAACTCCTGCCATTCGAAGATGCCGAGACCTCTGGTCGGTTGAGCATGGCAGCCCCCACCTCCTGGTGCACAGTCTCACGTTCATGCCAGCCCAACGTGGCTTTTCGGTGAGTTGTGTATCATTAACAAAGTGACTATGAAAATGATGGCCATGACTGACTTATGGTGGTGTGGCTTGGCATGCAGTATTGAGTATGTGTGATCGTGTGTGTGTGTGTGGGGGGGGGGGCATGCATGTGTGTGAGTGGCGAAGGTATCCTGCCAGGGCTGCACAGCGCCCAGCATAGCATTGGCTTGCTGGATGGGATTTCATTGAGCAGCACTGAATACGAGAGCAGGCGGCCAATTTTCTTGTCAGCAACCATAATAGCACTGCTACTTGCTAGCAACCTTCTCAAGGTGATCTATCTATGGTCTCTTGGGTATAGGGCTGAACGATTATACCAATTACTCGGTAATCGAACGAACAATGATGGTAACTAGAGTGTCTGCTCCGCTTCCCGGTGTCGAATGACTTGACCGTGACTTCAGTGACGAGTTGACTACACTAACAAGACCAACAGTAGCAGTACTAGTACAGTAGTTAGGTAGTGATATCGTGACAATAGTATCATCAAGAGTACATAACCCCCCAGAGTGTGCAACGCCTGATCCAGCTGTGCATAGGGTCTTGGTCGAGCGGAATCGGATCTTTGCGTCATAATACCGTACACATCTGAGGGGAACCCGGGGAGTCGCGGGTACTCTTGGATCAAAAACAATGGTGCCCTGCCTCGAGACCGGCCTTGCGCTGGTGTGAAGTGTACGCATGACATCAGAAGATCCGATTCCGCTCGACCAAGACCCTACACAGAGCTGGATCAGGCGTTGCACACTCTGGGGGGGTTATGTACTGTTGGTATCATGCATGACGAGTACTGTTAGATATTGGCGTCCGGTTTTGTATAATTCGTTTTCGCAAAGCCCCCCCCCCCCCTTTCGTTATCTCTGATATTGCTGACCCACCCAAGTAATTAGTTGGGTGGTGTGTTGCTTTGCTGCTTCGAACTGTAGTTTGTTGTCGTGGGACTTAGCGTGTGCACATTTTCGCTGCACCCATCTTCCCCTCTTCGGTCCTACGTAACCATGAACCTTCCAAGTTGGAAGGCTGTTGGCTTGCGCATTGGAGATGTGTTAGAGCTAGGTCTCAGGTCGCTGAATGTCTCAGTGGCCTGTCAGTTTGTGCCCTATTATCGCACTTTCTGACTGTTTATCATCTTGTTACAGTCGTGGATAGTTGCTGCATACCTCGTTCTCGTGTGTATTCTTCTCTCTTTCACATAAAATAATTTATTACTGGCTCAGTATCCGAGTCAATAGTACTAGTGTAATATGTAAAGAGAAAAGCTCTTACTACGTGTAGTTTCGTCATCATCATCCCGTAACCACGGTAACGTTCGACATTCTTTGTTGCCCAGGGACATAGGTCGTGCACATGATCTTCGTGGCGCATCCCTTCCCGTCACGGAACTTTCCGCGCCTGAGCCTTCCAAGTAGCTTAGTTGGAAGGTTGTGGGATTGCGCTTCGTAGATGTGTTGAAGCTAGGACAAGGATATTGAGACATTCCACGACGTCGTGGAATGTCTCAATATCCTTGTCCTAGCTTCAAGCCTTGTTGTCATACTGTTTATAATAATAATAATAACTTTATTAGGATGACCCAAAGGCTGGCCGCCTATCGTGGGGTCCGTCGCATTGAAGGATGATGGTACAAGAGAGTACAGATTGGGAAGGGGGGGGGGGGGACTACGATTGACTGCATTATCTCGTTACCTTGGTGGACTGTTAGCAAGAGTACATACCCCCCCCCCCCGGGGGGGGGGGGGGGTATGTACTCTTGCTATCAAGTTGCTAACAGTCATAACTAGTGACTTATGGGTCCTTTTCTCTTTACATAATTATTAGTATTTATTGAGTGGAGCAATCTTTTTGAATTTGATACAGTTGATGGTGTGGTCACCAATTAGTGTGGGTATTAAAGAACTCGGATGGAGAGCCATGAATAGGTGTTGGCGGATAATGCTCGGTAATATGGGATATAACGTTCTCAGTAATGCTCCACAAAAGGCCATATAATGCTCCACAAAAGGCCATATAATGCTGCAAATAATGCTGATAATGCTCCGCCGGATGGAATATAAACACCTGAACCTTGCGGTATTGGGCTAAGAAAAACGCTATAATATTGCACCAATGCTATGATAAACACATAATACAATATCAGGTAAACATGTACGCTAGGTACAAACACATACAGTCAATTGAGGCGGCACAAAGAGGATACGCCAAGAAGGACTCCATGACCAGCTTCTGCCACTGAGTTTCCCTCTCCAAACAGGACTTTCCTTGTTTGTGTCTCGCGGTAGCAATATGGGACAATACTCTTCTTCCCTGACAATGTTGTATAGCATGCCAGGCACACTAACTTGCCACAGTCGCTTTTGAGCGGCTCATCTGGGAACTCCCGCACCCGTGTTTCGGCACTGATGGCCACTTCAGTGCTCTGTCCATGAGCTACCCGCGTCCTTTTCGAAACATTTTCAGACTTGGTAATAGCTGTTTTCTGAAAAGACCGCTTCCTCGCTATCGCGGCAGGATCTGCAGTTTCCAACTCGACGACGTCACTATCATCAGAGGACTCCGCCAAAAGCTCATCTGGAGAAAGCCCAGCTTCCTCCCAGTCCCAAGAACGGCATCGCGGCGAGTCAGCCATCAGCGTTGGCTGCTAGTTAGCTGGTCTTACACAATGGTCAATGTCAGGTGAAAGTCCAGCGTCACTCTTTGACAAAGACATGGACTCTTGCTTCGATGAAGAATGTTTTTGTAACATTGTGGACAGTAACCGGGTAAGGTCTGGAATGTGTGCGTGTGTGCACCTCCACCGTTCCATGCTGGCTCACATTTGTTTCGTTGGTTCGGCGTTGTTACCTGGATCTTCAAAAAGTAAGTAATTAGTTGCTGGCCGAAGATAGACTTCCGGGACCGGAAGTTAGTTTCTGCGAGAGTTTTCACACTGTGCTGGACCACAGCTAGCTAGCACTACTGCTGCATGCAGTATACTGGGCATGGGCCTGGCGATGCGTGCCGCAGTTTGGTACCATGCATGATGTGTACGGACGGTGGTCTATCGCTTGTCATCGCGTAGAGTAATAAATGTTGCCAATCAAAGACCTACGCTATAGCCGATCCTAATCTGTACATGACGAATTGACGATGTGTGTAGATCTACTATGCAGTCATGTAGAAAGTCGTATAATGCCATTTTTGGCCTCGTAATGCTTTATAATGCTCGTAATGCTCCGGGTGGTGTATAATGCTCGATATAATGCCGGCATTATCCGCCAACACCTAGCCATGAATTAATTTATAGAAAAGAAAGGGACCAAAAAGGTCAATTATACGTGTAGTATATTATTATAATGAGGACCAGGGAGTAGTACAATACCATATATATTGTACTACTCCCTGATGAGGACAATCGAGTAGTTGCAACTGACGCCCGGGCATATGGAGGCGTTGCCATTCTTGCTAAATCAGGGATGTTTACGTCGCTACGCCACCGTACTGACCTCCATATTCCAGGTTTTGAAGCCACGTGTGTGGAAGCAAGGGTTTCACAGGGCTCGTCCTCCAACTGTCTGATTGTTGGCGCTGTTTACCGCCCCCCCCCCCCAAACAATAGCTCTGCACAGGTGGACTCTTTCATGACTTCCCTGCAACAATGTCTGTCACGGATTCGAAAACTCTCCACTTCCATCCTAGTCATGGGTGATTTCAATGCGAAGTCTGCCGCTTGGTATGGTTCTGCTACCGACAATCCGGGCCATCAACTTTCATGTGTTCTGAATATGTATGCTCTAACCCAACCCGTGAGGTTCGCAACCCATGGTGCATTGGGCTCCGCTGGCACTGCTCTAGATTTGATCATAAGCGATCGACCTGGCAATGTATTCTCCCTCTGCACTGAGGCACCGCTTGGGCAGTCCGACCATTCTATTGTGCTTAGTAGATTGACCCTCCCCCGTACTCTAGTATCACCGATATCCACGCCCTCTCGAACTCCAAGTAGTACCTCAACACCCATCCCGAACTTTCGCCAATTTTACCTCTCCCGACTGACCTCGGATTCTGCTTCGGATATCCAAGCTGCTATTGCCAATGTTGACTGGCCTCTGGTTCTACATGTCCAAGATCAAAATGTGGATACTACCCTGATAGCTTTCTTATCTACCACGCTTTATTTAATGTATGCTCCTCCTTCTTGCCAGCGAAAGTCCAATCATCACGTCCAGGCCGCAATAAAGTTAATCCCCCGTGGCTCACTCCGGCACTAAGAATTCAGTTAAAGCTCAAGCGAGACTCCTACAGCCTGTACAAGAAGTACCCCCCTCCTGACAACCTCACCCATTACAAATCTGAGCGGAACAAGGCCCGGAATGTGTCTCGCAAAGCCCATCGTGAGTTTATCTCCTCATTGACGTCCCTCAGCTCAGCCCACAGCAACCTTCCAGCACCCAACCTTTTTCAGTTTGCCCGTCAAGCACGATCAGGTACTACTGCCTCTTCGGATAGTAATGGCGTAGCCCAGCTCTGTGAGGAGAATACTGTTCATACGGATCCGGTTGCCATTACTGATGCGCTAAATACGCAGTTCGTAAACTTCGGGACCAAAGATGATCCTTCTTGGTCTGTGCCTGACTTCCCACAACACCACATACCTCCACTTACCTCTGTTTTCACAACCCCCTGCCGCATCAAGAAATATATTAGTCAATTAAAGCTGAAGAAGGCCACGGGCGTTGATGGCATCAGTCATGAGCTTCTTCGACTTCTTTCTCCAGCAATCGCGTATAGTCTCCTTTTCAACATGACATTTTGCACGGGCGTATTTCCCTCCCTCTGGAAGCACTCAATAGTCACACCCATATATAAGAACAAGGGCTCTCACTTAAGTGCAACCAACTACCGGCCTATTTCTCTTTTATCAACTATATCCAAACTTTGTGAACGTGTAGTCTTTGATCATGTCTATCCTCAAGTGAACCCTCTCCTCAGCCCTTCCCAGTCTGGTTTTCGTCATGGGGACTCCACGTTTTGGCAGCTGTTGCGTTTGGTACAG